TCTTGGCGACCGGCCGCACCCACACGTAGCGGGTCTTGCGGTCCTTCAGCAGCAAGAAGTACAGGCTGCCATCCTTGGCAGCCACCCGGAATGGCCCGTACAGGTCGATGTGCACGACGGCCAGCACGTCGTCGGCGTCCGAGCCCTTGTCGGGGAAGGTGTGCCGCGCCAGCTTCCCGACGACGCAATAGAGACACTGTGAGTCGGCGCCAGACGCCGACTTGAGATCCAGCCCGATGGCGACCTCGTGCTTCGCCGAGCTCCGTATGGTGTCCATGCCAACGTGCGCAAGCCTTGAGTGCAGCCTGTCCGGCGTCGCCTTCGTCGCTGAAACGATCGCCCGCAGGGCCACCACCTCCGTGGTGGACGGCGTCTGCTTGGCCGAGCAGGGGCGCAGGTCGGTGCAGAGGACACGCCCGGTATACGTTGCCCGACCGAGAACCTCTCCCGCCGCCGAGACGAGCAACATCCCGTCGCCGTCCTCCTGCAGCTTCACGCCGGTCTCCTTCAGCTGGCCGGCCGAAAGCAGGTTTGCCCGGACGCCTGGGACGTACAGCACGTCAGGGATGAGCACCCGCTTCCCGGCCTCCCCTTGCAGAGAGACAGTGCCGCGACCGTGGACGTCCTGCAGCGCCCCATTGAATCCGCGCACGTGCTTCACGTCGCAGCTCGGCCCCAAGTCGACAAAGGCCTCCTTCGTCCCCATCAGGTGGTGCGAGCAGCCGCTGTCGAGCAGGACCACCGCCGGGTTCGCCTGCACAGCTGCTGCCACCGCCTGGAAGTCCTCGCCGGCCTCCGGCGCCAGCGAGACGGTCGGCTCCACGACGCCGACCAGCGAGCATGACGCCACCTTTTCGTCTCGCCCCTTGCCACCAGCAGAGGAGTCGGCGTCCTTCGCCGAGGTCGACTTGGTCAACTGCTGCTCCTTGCGCGGCTGGTTTCCTCGACGGGGACGACGGCTGGCCGACATCCCGCGGCCTCTCTTGGCGTCGTCATCGTCGGTATCGCTGCGGTCGGGGCACTCGAAGGAGAGGTGGTCGGGGCTGTGGCAGATCCAGCACTCCCGACGCCGACTTCCTCCTCCTCGACTACCACTCGTAGCCGACTTCTGCTTGTCGGTGTCCTTCGCCGGCTTCCACCCGCTGCTACCACCGCCGCCAGGCTGCCCACGCTGCCCCGGTCGGCCACCTTGCTTCGCCGGGGAGACGAAGTTCGCCTGCGCCAAGAGCTCCTGGGACCGCTCAGCCTCCTGCATCGCCTCGTCCTGCAGGATGTACGAGGTCAAGTTGTCCTCGTTGAGCGTCGCCCTCGTGCTCGGCGCCATTGACTGCCGCTTCAGGAGGTTGTAGCTGCTCGAGAGTCCCTGCATGATGTGTGTGATGTACGACGTCATCGAGTACTGCGCGCCGGCCATCCTTATGGTGGCGAGAATCCGCCGGGCTCGGTTGCAGTAGTCAGTAGCAGTCTCCTCGTCGCCCATACGCAGGTGCGTCAGCTGCCCCTTAAGCTGGGCGATGAACAAGTCGTCGGGGTACGTCGACTCGATGAAGTGCCACGCTCGGTGCCCGGCGTCGAGGTACTCCCGGCACCACTTCAAGGCGATCTGCACGCCCGGCGAGCAGCACCGCGAGATGACCGTGAAGGTCAACAGCTGCACGGCGCGAAACTCCGATCGTAAGTCGGCGTGGTGCTCCTCCGGCGTCGCAACGGTCCCTCGGGCGAAGCCAATCAGCCCGGCCATCTCCAGCTGGGGCTCGATGGCTTCCTTCCAGGTGAGAATGTCCGGTCGACCAACGAGCGGCGGGGTGACCAAGATTCTATCCGGCGTAAACTTGAAGTAGCCGTAGCTCGGTGCAATCCCGCCCGCCGTCACCTGGGTTGCCGACATCGGCGACAATCCGCTTCGACGTCCTCCGACATCCCCCCGCGAGGAGCCTGCAGCCGCCGACGACTGCATCCCTCGCGCCTGAACGCCGCCAGCTTCACCGGCGTGTATCACACCTCGCTGCCTTGACGTGCCTCCCGCACTGCTGCCGACTTGGCCTCCACCGGCGTTGACGCCCACGTCGACGCCACCGTCGTTGTTCACCGGTCGAGGAGAGGCTGGTCGAGAAGGGGGGTGCTCCGCCGCCCACACGGAGCGGAGTCCTGCCTCGACGACTGCCCAGGGTATCGCCCCGTACTCCTGGGCCTCATGGCGTCTCCTCGTATCCTCCAGCTGTGCCTCAAGGGTGTCCATCACCTCGGCGTCACCTACGCGCACGCTAGTGACTACCGCACAGCTGCCGGTCTACGAACACGATAGGGAAGTGCAAAGTCGGCTAGACTGAACTACGTCGCGGTGTCGTCCACGCTCACCGCACCATGCGGAGATAACTTTAGCGACGGATTCTAGACTACGGGCTAGGCACGGGTGCTCGTGTGATCTATGCGTTCGTTGTTCCTTAGTCGTTTCCTAGTGTACACACTACTTGCTAGTTCACGGGGCAATTTTGGCAAGAGTTTCACTAAGAAAGGTTGACAACAATGGTTGATACAACATTGGCAACACATACTACATCAGAGCTAGCTAGGCTGCTGGTCGACCTCCAGCGCAGCATGGTCGACCGCGATCCAGCGCAGCAGAGCTCGCACCGCTCCAGCGTTGCAGAGTAGCGGTTTGCCAACGTTGCAAGTCCACGGTGTGCCAACGCTGCAGCAAGTCGGCTGCACAGCGTTGCACCCGCAGGACAACGGTGCAATTGCTTCGCAGGTGCGTGCAGCTGGTTGGTGCACCACTCCTTGTCACGTGCACAGCGCAGACGCCCGGGTCGTGTCCATGCCAGCGACTGCGCCTACCAGCCACGTCGACCTCGGGATACCACTTCCGAGGTTGGCCTCACAGAAGACTCCCCGGCGACCTTCGCACACGTCGCCCGGGTATCCAGGTTGACCGGGCAACCACGCCTAGTCGCCCAGCTCAGTTGGTCGCCGGCTACACCTGACCGGCGTCCCTAGAAGAGGTGTCCCAGCACCCAGGTCGGCGTCCTGACGCCTAGGTCAGCGTCCAGGTGCTCAGGTTGCCGTCTAGACGCCCCAGGTCGGCGTCCAGGCGCCCAGGACGCCATCCAGACGCCTAGGTCGGCGTCCAGCTTCCCATGACGCCGTCCAGGCGCCAAGGTCGGCGTCCAGGCTCCCAGGACGCCGTCCAGACGCCCAGGTCGGCGTCCAGGCTCCTAGGACGCCGTCCAGACGCCCAGGTCGGCGTCCAGGCTCCTAGGACGCCGTCCAGACGCCCAGGACGGCGTCCTCCTGTTCAGCGTCCTCCAGCCAGGCGCCCTCCAGCACGACGCCCTCCTGCTAGGCGCCCTCCAGCCAGGCGCCCTCCAGCTCGGCGCCCTCCTGCTAGGCGCCCTCCAGCCAGGAGCCCTCCAGCTCGGCGCCCGCCACTGCAGCTGATCGGTTGCGCTCCTTGCACACCCAACAAACGAAGTCGGCTCCGCCCAAGCGAGGACGGGGCCAACCACAACTCCCGTTGACATGGTGTACAGGAAATGGAGGGACATGAGGTTTGGTGTGGAGGAAATGGAGGGACATGAGGATCGGTGTGAAGGAAAATGGAGGGAGATGAGGATGAGTCTGAAGGAACTGGAGGGAGAGGTTCTCTAGGCACAAAATGTAGGGTCATGAGGATCGGTGTGCAGGAAATGGAGGGACATGAGGCTCGGTGTGAAGGAAAAGGAGGGACATGAGGTTCGGTGTGAAGGAAAAGGAGGGACATGAGGTTCGGTGTGAAGGAAAAGGAGGGACATGAGGTTCGGTGTGAAGGAAAAGGAGGGACATGAGTTTCGATGTGAAGGAAAATGGAGAATCAGTGTAAAGGAGCTCCAGTCAGGGGGAAGGGACATGATAATTGCTTTAGTCAGGGAGACGGGGCAAGATAAGAGCTCTGGGCAGGTAGACGGGGCAAGATAAGAGGTCTGGTCAGGGGGACGGGGCAAGATAAGAGGTCTGGTCAGGGGGACGGGGCAAGATAAGAGGTCTGGTCAGGGGGGCGGGGCAAGATAAGAGGTCTGGTCAGGGGGACGGGGCAAGATAAGAGGTCTGGTCAGGGGGACGGGGCAAGATAAGAGGTCTGGTCAGGGGGACGGGGCAAGATAAGAGGTCTGGTCAGGGGGGCGGGGCAAGATAAGAGGTCTGGTCAGGGGGACGGGGCAAGATAAGAGGTCTGGTCAGGGGGACGGGGCAAGATAAGAGGTCTGGTCAGGGGGACGGGGCAAGATAAGAGGTCTGGTCAGGGGGACGGGGCAAGATAAGAGGTCTGGTCAGGGGGACGGGGCAAGATAAGAGGTCTGGTCAGGGGGACGGGGCAAGATAAGAGGTCTGGTCAGGGGGACGGGGCAAGATAAGAGGTCTGGTCAGGGGGACGGGGCAAGATAAGAGGTCTGGTCAGGGGGACGGGGCAAGATAACAGCTCTGGTCAGGGGGACGGGGCAAGATAACAGCTCTAGTCAGGGGGACGGGGCAAGATAACAGCTCTAGTCAGGGGGACTGGGCAAGATAAGAGCTATAGTCAGGGGGACAGGGCAACATAAGAGCTCTAGTCAGAGGGACGGGGCAAGATAGGAGCTATAGTTAGGGGGACGGGGCACGATAAGAGGAAAAGTAAGGGAGGGCAGACAGGTGCCAAAACATCAAAACTTGTGGCGCCGCCCGGACTTGAACCGGAGACCTTCAGTGTGTTAGACTGACGTGATAACCAACTACACCACGGCACCTGTTCCTCTCGCCAAGGAGGACTTTGTGAGCTGTGATTTCCATGGAGCTCTCTCGCCTTCATGGCGGCACTTGCTCTCATCCCATCTTCCTGCATCGCCATCCCACGTTGCACCTTTCAGCGACTCCCCCCCGTCTCCCGCTCGCCTCCTTCTTTTCCCCGCCCGCCGCATTTCGCGCTCTCCTCACCTCTTCGAACAGCTTCGCCTTTTCGCGGAAGATCTGCCGTGCGACGCTTTGCGACAATGGCGACTGTGTATCCGGAGAGCGACGCGATCCGGGAAGCTCGCGATCTGGTCGCGGAGCTATGCCGTCACTTCTACACCCTTGGATGGGTCTCGGGAACAGGTGCGCGTGAAATACACTCACGTCGAACGGCTGGCTGTGTCCACGCTCACTTTGCACTCACCTCAGAACCCTCCATTCCAAAAACCAACATTCAGTGAATCCCCATATTATAAGTTCCTCGTTTGGTACGCTCTTAAGCGTTGCTATCACCAATGCCTGACTGCTCAGGAGGAATTTTGCTCCCGAAATGCTGACTAGACTTTCGAGCAGTCGGCACTCGAGAAGCCGTTTTTGCAGCTTCCGAGAATGCCGTACCACCTGGCTTCTACTGTTGACCAGCATGGGTTAACACTGATGAGCATTGACCAGCATTGACCAACGTTGACCAGCATTGACTGGTATGGGTCAGCATCGACCAGCGTTGACCGTCCTTTACCAGCATTGGTTGAATCACATGTCCTTTTGTATGAGCATGCATGGATGAATGGATCATTCTCACGTCAGGCCCACCTGCGCCAACATCCCTTACTCGACAGACACATACTCAAATGCATGTTGCGATGACTTTTGAGTCGACTCAGATGTTACCCCAACGTCAACACACCATACCACACACATACAAGCCCTCCTCGGATTTCCACATATTTTGTCTGCCCTCTGAGACATCCAAAATCAGGTCTTTAGGTTGGATGGATACCCCATGTCTTGTTTCTCTGCGAACACTATTGTCGCGTGTGTGTGTGTATGTGCCGCGCGTGTCGCACTTTCCTGCGTCAATGCAACTGCTTGCATGGCATGCCAATGTGTGTGAAATGGTGAATGCATGTGCTGCGCATGTCTGAGCAGGGGGCAGCATCAGCATCAAGGCAAACGAGCCGGGGAGGACCAACCAGGAGCGCACGATTGTCATGGCGCCTTCTGGTGGGTAGAGTATAGAATGGGTAGCACCGTACACCCTCTCTTTTGTGCACCCATGCACCCATCCAGCCATGCACTGGTCCATGCACCCATCCAGCCATGCACTGGTCCATGCACCCATCCAGCCATGCACTGGTCCATGCACCCATCCAGCCATGCACTGGTCCATGCACCCATCCAGCCATGCACTGGTCCATGCACCCATCCAGCCATGCACTGGTCCATGCACCCATCCAGCCATGCACTGGTCCATGCACCCATCCAGCCATGCACTGGTCCATGCACCCATCCAGCCATGCACTGGTCCATGCACCCATCCAGCCATGCACTGGTCCATGCACCCATCCAGCCATGCACTGGTCCATGCATCCATCCAGCCATGCACTGGTCCATGCACCCATCCAGCCATGCACTGGTCCATGCACCCATCCAGCCATGCACTGGTCCATGCACCCATCCAGCCATGCACTGGTCCATGCACCCATCCAGCCATGCACTGGTCCATGCACCCATCCAGCCATGCACTGGTCCATGCACCCATCCAGCCATGCACTGGTCCATGCACCCATCCATCCATGCACTGGTCCATGCATCCATCCATGCACCCATCCATGCACTGGTCCATGCATCCATCCATGCACCCATCCATGCACTGGTCCATGCATCCATACATGCACCCATCCATGCACTGGTCCATGCATCCATCCATGCACCCATCCATGCACTGGTCCATGCATCCATACATGCACCCATCCATGCACTGGTCCATGCATCCATCCATGCACCCATCCATGCACTGGTCCATGCATCCATACATGCACCCATCCATGCACTGGTCCATGCATCCATACATGCACCCATCCATGCACTGGTCCATGCATCCATACATCATTGCTAACGAGCGGGGGGGGACCAACCAGGAGCGCACGATCGTCATGGCTCCCTCTGGTGGGTAGCACTCATACACCCATCCATGCATCCATGCATTCACGCGCTCATGCATTCATGCATTCATGCACTTATGCACCCATGCATGCATGCCGTGGTCTGTTCCCCATCCATCCATCCATGCATGCATCACAGGCGTGCAGAAGGAGCGCATGCTAGCAGAGGACATGTATGTGTGCTGTGCTGGCACCGGACGGCACCGTGCTGGTGTGTTTGAAGCTCAGAGTCAGATCGGCCTCCTTCCTTCTCCCCTCTTCCGCTCTCTCCCCACACAGGCGTGCAGAAGGAGCGCATGCTGGCAGAGGACATGTATGTGATGGCCGCGGATAGCACAGTGCTGGTGGAGCCCACGGTCAAGCCCGACTTCTCCTTCTGTCTTCCATTGCTCTCCATGCCCCATGCCTTGTGCCCCATGCATCTCTCCCATGCCCCATGCCCCATGCCCCATGCCCCATGCCCCATGCCCCATGGCCCTTGCCCCATGCCCCATGCCCCATGCCCCATGCCCCATGCCCCATGCCCCATGCCCCATGCCCCATGCCCCATGCCCCATGCCCCATGGCCCTTGCCCCATGCCCCATGCCCCATGCCCCATGCCCCATGCCCCATGCCCCATGCCCCATGCCCCTTGCCCCATGCCCCATGCCCCATGCCCCATGCCCCATGCCCCATGCCCCTTGCCCCATGCCCCATGCCCCTTGCCCCATGCCCCATGCCCCCTTGCCCCTTGCCCCATGCCCCATTGCCCCATGCCCCATGCCCCATGCCCCATGCCCCTTGCCCCATGCCCCATGCCCCTTGCCCCATGCCCCATGCCCCATGCCCCATGCCCCTTGCCCCATGCCCATGCCCCTTGCCCATGCCCATGCCCCTTGCCCCATTGCCCCATGCCCCATGCCCCTTGCCCCATGCCCTTGCCCATGCCCCATGCCCCTTGCCCCATGCCCCTTGCCCCTTGCCCCATGCCCCATGCCCTTGCCCCATGCCCCATGCCCCATGCCCTGCCCCATGCCCCATGCCCCTGCCCCATGCCCCATGCCCCATGCCCCTTGCCCCATGCCCCATGCCCCATGCCCCATGCCCCTTGCCCCATGCCCCATGCCCCATGCCCCTTGCCCCATGCCCCATGCCCCATGCCCCATGCCCCTTGCCCCATGCCCATGCCCCTTGCCCATGCCCATGCCCCATGCCCCATGCCCCATGCCCCATGCCCCATGCCCCTTGCCCCATGCCCCATGCCCCATGCCCCATTGCCCCATGCCCCTTGCCCCATGCCCCTTGCCCCATGCCCCATGCCCCATGCCCCATGCCCCTTGCCCCATGCCCCATGCCCCTTGCCCCATGCCCCATGCCCCATGCCCCTTGCCCCATGCCCCTTGCCCCTTGCCCCATGCCCCATGCCCCATGCCCCATGCCCCTTGCCCCATGCCCCATGCCCCATGCCCCTTGCCCCATGCCCCATGCCCCATGCCCCTTGCCCCATGCCCCTTGCCCCTTGCCCCATGCCCCTTGCCCCTCTTCCTCAACAGGCGTGCAGAAGGAGCGCATGCTACCAGAGGACATGTACGTGATGGCGGCTGATGGCACTGTGCTGGTGGAGCCCAGAGTCAAGCCCGCCTTCTCCTTCTGTCTTCCATTGCTGTCCATGCCCCATCCCCATGCGCCTCTCCCCTACCCACACCACAGGCGTGCAGAAGGAGCGCATGCTAGCAGAGGACATGTATGTGATGGCCGCTGATGGCACTGTGCTTGTGGAGCCCAAGGTCAAGCCGCCCCCGCACAAGGCGCCCAAGTGCAGCGAGTGCGGCCCGCTCTTCCTCAAGGCGAGTTCATTCCGTGGATTCCTTCAGGGTTTAGGGTGGGTGAGCTGGCCGCCCTGTTCTTTCCTGTCGACTCACTCGTGTGTTGACTCGTGGGTTGTAGTGTAGAGTGCACCTTACAGTTCTTTGCTTCAGCCCACACCACAGTCTTACAAGTTTTGAGGCGCCTAACAAACTTAAACTTACTACAGCTACCGTGTATTCCATTTGTGTGACCCATTTCCGCGCACACCCTTTTGAGAATTCTCAAACGGGCATCTTAAGACGACCAAGGTCTTAAGATGAGTACCACGAATTCCATTTGTGTAACCCACTTTTGCGCCCTCCACAGCCCATCTCGATCGATCCACCCAAGCCCCCCTCTTTTCACTCTTCCACATTCCCCCCTCCCGTCTTCCTCACCAACCCCCCTTTTCCCTCTTCCTCACACCCCACACCACCCCTAACCCCCCCCCCACCCTTCCCTCTCCTTTCTCCTGCCCCCCTTTCCCACGTGCGACAGTGTTTTGAGATGCGCGGGGCGGGGGCGGTGATCCACAGCCACGGCATGGAGACTGCCATGGCCACCATGCTGGTCCCTGGTGCTAAGGAGTTCCGTGTGAGTGCACTCACCTGACTGAGCTGACTGAGTTGACTGAGCGTTGACTGGGTTGACTAGCAACACTGCGTGACTCTGTGATGGCAGTGATTCACAGCCACGGCATGGAGACCGCCATGGCCACCATGCTGGTCCCTGGCGCCAAGGAGTTCCGCGTGAGTTGACTCATTTGACCCTGCTGTTGACTGCGTTGACTGCGTTGGCTCATGTGACTACATGGACTGCATTGACTGGAATGTCTGAGGTGCTGACTGAGGTGATGGCATCGCATGTGCTGATTGGCTGATCTGAGGTGACAGACCCAACACCGAGTTGAGACTGAGGGGATCAATGTAACTAGAGTGTGTCTGTCTGATGGAAACGCATGCCGCCAATGCATTCACCCTTCCCTCCCAGTGCCGATGGCTTGCTTGCTGCTTCTTTCTCTCCTCCTCCCTTCGATCCTCGACTCCTGCGATTCTCGCCTTCTTCACTCGCTCCTTGCCTCCACCGTCCCGATATCTCTTTGCCCATGTTCAGGACAATATCCGACATGAGCATGGTCAAGGGCATGGTGGGCCATGGTTACCACAGTACAGTACCATATGTGCTTGTTAACTTGCATTCACTTGCTTGCTTCCCCATTCCCCCATTCCCTCTCTCTCGCCCCGCGCCCAGATATCCCACATAGAGATGATCAAGGGCATCATGGGCCACGGGTACCATGAGGAGGGCTAGCTTACCACACTCACTTGCTCGCTCCCCGCCTCACTCCCTCTCTCCGCCTCACTCCCTCTCTCCGCCTCACTCCCTCTCTCCGCCTCACTCCCTCTCTCCGCCTCACTCCCTCTCTCCGCCTCACTCCCTCTCTCCGCCTCACTCCCTCTCTCCGCCTCACTCCCTCTCTCCGCCTCACTCCCTCTCTCCGCCTCACTCCCTCTCTCCGCCTCACTCCCTCTCTCCGCCTCACTCCCTCTCTCCGCCTCACTCCCTCTCTCCGCCTCACTCCCTCTCTCCGCCTCACTCCCTCTCTCCGCCTCACTCCCTCTCTCCGCCCCACTCCCTCTCTCCGCCTCACTCCCTCTCCCCGCCTCACTCCCTCTCTCCGCCTCACTCCCTCTCTCCGCCCCACTCCCTCTCTCCGCCTCACTCCCTCTCTCCGCCTCTCTCCCTCTCTCCGCCTCACTCCCTCTCTCCGCCTCACTCCCTCTCTCCGCCTCGCTCCCTCTCTCCGCCTCTCTCCCTCTCTCCGCCTCACTCCCTCTCTCCGCCTCACTCCCTCTCTCCGCCTCGCTCCCTCTCTCCCCCTGCCTTTCTTACCCCGTTCCTTGCCCAGGTATCCCACACGGAGATGATAAAGGGCAGCATGGGCCACGGGTGTACGACGATGAGTGCTTGCCACTGAGCTGAGCTGAGAACCCTTTCTTGTGCACTCCCACTCCCCACTCCCTCTCTCTCCCTGTTCGTTGCCCAGATATCCCACATGTTGATGATAAAGGGCATAGTGGGCCATGGGTACTGCGATAGGTGCTAGCTCACTTGCACTCATTTGCTTACCTTACCCATCCTGCCCACCCTCTCCTCTTCCCCCCTCCGCCCAGATATCCCACATGGAGATGATAAAGGGCATGGTGGGCCATGGCTACTACGACGAGCTGGTGGCTACTGAGCTGAGCACCCTTTCACCTGCACTCCCACTTTCCCCGTCTCTCGCTCTCCCTCTCTCCCTCTCACTCCTCCACCACCCAGATCTCTCACATGGAGATGATAAAGGGCATAGTGGGCCATGGGTACTATGACGAGCTGGTGGTGCCGATCATTGAGAACACCGCCCGGGAATACGAGCTGGTTGTTATGTTACTGATCTGAGGACCCCTTCTCTTGTATTCCCATCTCCCATTCTCCATCCCTCCCCCCTCCCCCCAGATATCCCACATGGAGATGATAAAGGGCATCGTGGGCCATGGGTACTATGACGAGCTGGTGGTGCCAATCATTGAGAACACCGCGCGGGAATACGAGCTCACGGATTCTCTCGCTGCTGCTGTGAGTACCTTGCTTAAGCCCCTCTCTCTGGTGGTATCAGCGTTGAAATGAATGACTCGCTTGCACGAAGCTGGTGGTGTGGTGCCAATCATTGAGAACACCGCAAGGGAATACGAGCTCACCGACTCGCTCGCAGCAGCCGTGAGTCCCTTGCTTGTGCTGTAAGCCCCTCGCCCTCTGGTGACAAACCTTATGAGACTACTCACTCCCTTCCACCGAGCTGGTGGTGCCGATCATTGAGAACACGGCCGGGGAATACGAGCTCACGGACTCCCTCGCAGCCGCTGTAAGTTCATTGCCTGGTCTTACCTTTTGAAGATGTATACCCCGAAAAAACAGATCTCCCGAAAGGGGTGCCCGTGATTGAACACTCGGCAAGGGAATACGAGCTTACTGACTCCCTCGCTGCTGCTGTAATCCTCGTGCCTCGCCTCGCCTCACCTCACCTCACCTTTCTTCCCTTCCATCCTACTCCCCACCCACCCCTCTTCCCATCTTCCTTCTCAAATCACCCTTTCTTACCCCTCTCGTCCTATCATATCCTTCTCTCTTCCCTGTCGCACCTTCCTTCCACGCCTTGCTTTTCAGATCTTTGAGGCGCCTCGAAAATCACCCCCTCTTCCTCGCGTCTCGTGTTTGACAACTGGATCCAGGCTAAGACACAGGCAGAGCAGAGTGAATGCCTTTCCATCCCTGCCTGCCTGTTAATCCTCCCTTGCACACTCTACACTCGCTCTTCCTCCCCTCCTGCGTCTGCCCAACCACATACCCCCTTGCAGATCGCAGCATACCCCAAGCCAAGGCAACAGCGGTGCTGGTGCGCAACCACGGGGTGGGGTGTTCATCTGGGGGGACAACTGGATCCAGGCCAAGACACATCCTGAGTGGGGTGATTGCCTTGCCATCCCTACCTATGTGTTTATCCCCCATTGCACACCCTACAACCCCTCTTCCTCCCCTCCCCACCCACAGATCGAGGCCTATCCCAAGGCAACGGCGGTGCTAGTGCGCAACCACGGCGTGTACATCTGGGGGGACAACTGGATTCAGGCCAAGACACAGGCGGAGTGCTACCACTACCTGTTTGACGCTGCTATCCGCATGCACCAGATGGGGATCAACCCCTGTGACCCGCTGCACCTGCCAACCACTGGCGCTGCTGCTGTTCCTGCTGCTGTGCCTGCTACCGCTGGCGGCAAAGCTTTTCCGGTACGACTTAGGCAGTGGGTTGATGGGCTGATGGGATGGGGGTGCTACCACTACCTGTTTGACGCCGCTATCCGCATGCACCAGATGGGGATCAACCCCTGTGACCCGCTGCACCTGCCAGCTGCTGCTGCTGGTGCTGCTGCTGCCCCTGCCGTTGCTGCTCCTGCTGCTGCCGGCAAAACTTTTCCGGTGAGACACAGGCAGTGGGTCGAAGGGAGTGCTTCCACTACCTGTTTGACGCGGCTATCTGAATGCATCAGATGGGGATCAACCCGTGCGACCCTCTGCACCTTCCCGCTGCTGCCACTGCTGCCGCTCCTGCTGCTCCTGCTGCTCCTGCTGGTGGCAAGACCTTTCCGGTAAGACATGGGCAGTGAGTTGATTGATGGGTTGATGGGAGTGGTACCACTACCTGTTTGACGCCGCTATCAGGATGCATCAGATGGGGCTCAACCCGTGCGACCCGCTGCATTTGCCAACCGCTGCTGCTGCTTCTGCTGCCCCTGCCGGTGCTGCTCCTGCTGCTACTGCTGGCGGCAAGGCCTTTCCTGTAAGATTCAATCAATGGGTGGTTGGGTTGGTGGTAGTGCTACCACTACCTGTTTGACGCGGCTATCAATGCATCAGATGGGGATCAATCAACCCGTGCGACCCTCTGCATTTGCCAACCGCTGGCGCTGCTGCTGCTACTGTGCATGCTGTCCCTGGTGGTACTGCTGGCGGAAAGCATTTCCGGTAAGACACGGGCAGTGGGTTGATGGGTTGATGGGAGTGCTACCACTACCTGTTTGGTGCGGCTATTAGCATGCCTCTCCGGCACCATCCCCCCCCGTTTCCTCTCAAACCCAACACACATTCGTGCATTCTGCTCTCCGCCCCGGTCCCCCTCTCCTCCGTGCACAAGTTCATAGTGTCTTAGACGTGCATGCATGCATGCCTACTAAAGTTGATGGAACTAAGGCCTCCGCAACGCAACCCACTGTCCAGCATTGACAAGCTCTGGAGAACCCATCAAAAGTCAAAAGTCACCTCTTTTGAGCCGACTCAAAAGTGGGTTGCGGAGACCCCTTGTCCTCTCTGCAGAAGTGCATCGGGTGGGACATCGAGGGCACCACCACACCACCCCCATCTGCTTTATAACCAACCCCCATCCCCGCCCTTCTCTCCTGTTCACTCTCTCCTTCCCCCCTCCCCTCCTCTCCCACTCGTTCAAAGTGTTGGTCGTAGAGAGCAGTACCACCACCACCCCATCTCCTTCCCTATCCCCATACATTCCCCTCCGCTCTCCGCTCCCCGCATCCCCCACCTCCCCGCTTCCCCCATTCTGCAGAGGTTCATAGCGTCGGACGTAGAGGGAACCACCACCCCCATCTCCTCTACAACCCCCATCCCCCTTCCTCTCTCCCGCACCCCCTTTCCTGCCCCCTCCTCCCCCTTCCCGCCACTTCCCCCAACTCTACAGAAGTTCATAGTGCTGGACATCGAGGGCACCACCACCCCCATCTTTCTCCAACTCCGAACCTCTCTCCCCCTTCTCTCCCCCTCTTCCCCTCTCCCCGGCTCCTCTCACTCCCCTCCCCCCTTCCACCCACCCTGCAGAAGTTCATAGTGCTGGACATCGAGGGCACCACCACCCCCATCTCCTTCGTCTCCCAGGTATGGCGTGGACGAAACCAGACCCGGTATCTCTAATACGTAGCCTAAACCCTAGACCCGGTATCTCTAATATGTAGCCTAAAGCCTATCTCTGAGGCGCCTAAAAAATAGTATGGCGTGGACGAAACCTGGACCATGTATCTCCAATACGTATCCTAAAGCCGAGACCCTAAGCTTCTCGTGAAATCCGTTTCTTTCCACGTCTGTCATTCTTCCCACCTTGCAAATCCAGTGTCTTCCCTTCCCGTCCCTTTCACCCCATCTCCCCCCCACCCCAGGTGCTCTCTTCCCCTACGCTAGATCCTACATGGGGCCGCACCTGCTTTCCCATTATGATTCCCCATATACGTTCCTCTCCTTCCTCTCCCTGTAAAGTAAGCAATACCATCCTTCCCCCCACCACCAGGTGCTCTTCCCCTACATCAAGGCCACGTGGGGCAGCACCTGAAAGACACGTTCGGCACCCCCGAGGCACAAGCCGACATGCTGCTGCTGCGCGCCCGGATCGACCACCACCTCTCACTCACCCCCTCCCTCCCCCCCCCTACCGTCCTAGGTCCTCTTCCCCTACGCCAAGGATCATGTGGGGCAGCATCTGCTCGCCACATTCGACACCTCCGAGACCCAGGCCGACATGCTGCTGCTGCTGCTCATAAGCCTTCCTCCCACACTCCACACTACCAGGTGCTCTTCCCCTATGCTAAAAGCCACGTGGGGCAGCACCTGCTTGACACCTTCGACACCCCCGAGACGCAAGCAGACATGCTGCTGCTGCGCGCCCAGATCGACCAGGACCTCCAATCCGCCCTGCCCGTCCCACCCCTACCCCTGCCTCCTTCCCACCCCAGGTCCTCTTCCCGTATGCCAAGTCACACGTGGGGCAGCATCTGCTCGCCACGTTTGACACCCCCGAGACGCAGGCAGACATGCTGCTGCTGCGCACTCAGATCGACCAGGACATCAAAGCATCCGTTCCTGGTGCCGAGCCCGTGCCCCCTCTAGAAGCGGGGAAGGAGGCGGTGGTGGGAGCACTGGAGAGGAACGTGGCGGCGATGATAGCGGCGGACAGGAAGGTGACGGCACTGAAGCAGCTGCAGGGGCACATCTGGCGGGGCGGGTACGAGAAGGGCGAATTGAAGGGGGAGTTTTTCAGTGATGTGCTGACGGCGCTCACCCAGTGGCACGCTGCTGGCTGCAAGGTAGGTTCTGTCTCATCCTCCTCCTCTCTCCTCCTCTCCCGTCCCTGCTCTCCTGAAACAACACTCAGCCAACACTCAGTGTTCTGATCCCTTTCTCCCTTCCTCTCCCGTCAACCGTGTTGCCAGGTGTCGCTAAATCCGTAGGCAGGGAGGCGCAGCACCTCGTTTTCACGTGTTTGTGATCACGCCTGTGCTTTTCCCATGCTTTTTGAAATCTTCCTCTCCTCGCCCCCTCACCCTCCCCTTTCTCCTCTCCCCCCTCCCTTCGCCCTTCAGATCTACATTTATTCGAGTGGCAGCAGGGAGGCGCAGCACCTCGTTTTCACGTGTTTGTGGTCACGCACGCCTGTGCTTTTCCCATGGTTAAAAAGAATCTCATCTCCCCGTCCCCCTCACAGCCCCACCTCCCCCCTCTTCTCCCCCTTCCCTCTCCTCCCCCCTCTCTCCCCTTCAGATCTACATTTATTCGAGTGGCAGCAGGGAGGCGCAGCACCTCATCTTCGGCTATTCCAATGTGGGCGACCTGAGGCGCTTCATTAGTGGCTTCTTCGATACCACCACAGGGTCGGTTCGCACATCCTGCAGATGCCCTTATGCACAAACGTTTTTTGTTTTCTCGCTATGGAAAATCCAGTGGGACGAGGTCCACGAGCTCGTCGGATGATGCCTGGCAGTTGGGGATATCGAAGTCGAGCACGTAAATGCCGTTGAGCGAGCGGGCTCTTCCGAGGTATTTGTGCGATTCGACGGGCGTGTCTGGAGGGGCGTAGGTGAGGATGAGATCGCGCATGTCTGGATCCGTAGCGAGCATTACTCCGCAGCCTCGGAGTTGTCCTGCCGATAGGAGGTTAAAGTGGAGGTCCGGCACGTAGAGCACGCCGTTGTGTCAAACATATATGACATAGTCTGTGTAGGCTGTAGTGGGGTAGTCCATATAGGGTACAACACTTCTAGGTTTCCTACTTGTACCCACCTGCTTGCTAGTTCAATCATTCGTTCCTTCACTATTCTGACATGGTATTCTGAGCAGGTTCCCTCGTGGGAACGTTTTTTTTTAGGACCCACCACGATTTTTTTTTTCCTGCCCTGCCCGAAGCGCGCCTCGCGCCTGCCTCCCCTGCACCGTCACGCGCCCTGCCCTAGTGCCGCTCGTCGCGGCCCTGCCTTCTCGGCCCGTCGCGGCCTTGCCCTAACGGCCCGTCGCGGCCCTGACCTAGCCGCCCGTCGCGGCCTTGCCCTGTCGCCGCCTCGTCGCGGCCCCGACCTCGCCGCCTAGTCGCGGCCCTGCCCTGCCGCCACCCGCGGCCCTGCCTTGCCGCCCGTCGCGGCCTACCCTAGCCGCCCGTCGCGGCCCTACCCTGCCGCCCCTCGTCGCGGCCCCGACCTCGCCGCCCGCCGCGGCCTCTCCCCTGCCGCTGCTCGTCGCGGCCCTGCTCTACTGCCGCCCAGCCGCGGCCCTGCCCTACTGCCGCCCTGTCGCGGCCCTGCTCTGCCGCCGAATCGTCGCGGCCCTGCCCTTCAGCCGCCCCAGTCGCGGCCCTGCTCTACCGCCGCCAAGTCGCGGCCCTGCCCTGCTGCCGCCCCAGTCACGGCCCTGACCTCACCGCCAGCTGCGGCCCTGCCCTGCACCCGCCCCTGGTAAGCACCCGCGCCGCCCAGCCGAGCCGCGCCGCGCAGCCGAGCCGCGCCGCTCAGCCGAGCCGCGCCGCCCTGCCGAGCCGCGCCGCCCAGTCTAGCCGCGCCGCTCTACCGAGCCGCGCCGCCCTACTGAGCCGCACTGCCCTGCCCGCGCTGCTCCTGCTGCTACTGCTGTTTCCGCTGCCACTGCTGCTACTGCTGCTACTGCTGCTACTGCCGCTATGGCTAGCCCTAATGTTCTTACCTTTGATGCTGAGAGGCGTGCGGTTGACTTCGACGTGTGGGTTGACGACCTGCAGCTCTTTCTCCAGTGTGACTCTAAGGACGGAGTCTCCCTTTTCGATCACACGTCCGGTGTCTCTTCTGCACCTGCTGCCACTGCTGACAGTACAGTTCGCTCGCAGTGGACCACTCGTGACACTGTTGCTCGCCTTGCTGTTCGTAGTCACCTGCCGTTTGCTGAGCGCGCGCACTTTGGCCAGTACAAGACTGCTAAGTCTTTGTATGACGCTGTCGTAGCGTGCTACTCCTCCTCTGCCACTGCTGCCCTCAGCCGCCTCATGCTGCCGTACCTGTTCCCTGACCTTGCCGCTTTTGCCACAGTCGCTGACCTCATTACTCACCTCCGCACTAGTGACACCCGCTACCGCGCTGCGCTTCCCACTGAGTTCTGTGCCAAGAACCCCCCGCCCAAGTACATCACCCTATACTACCTAGTCACCCGTCTCCCTGACTCCCTTTCTTCAGTCAGGGACCACTTTCTCTCCCTTTGCCCCACTGAGCTCACCGTCGACCTGCTCGAGGAGCGCCTTACTGCAGCTGAGAAGAGTATCGTTGCTGTAGGTGCTTCTCGCGGCGACCCTCGCACCCCTTTCTTTGAGGGGTGCTCCCCCGTCCCCCTTCTCCCCTCTGTTGCTTCTGCTGCTGCTGTCGACCTCGTTGGCACTGAGGAGGTTGGGGCTGCGTCTGCTCCTAGCCTTCTGTACCGACATCCTCTCTCTCCTCCTTCCCCTCCCTCACCGTCATTGCAAGCAGCCACAAGAGGGAGGCGCGCAGCTACTCGGAGATCGCGCTAACTCTGGGCGCGGACTCCCCGTCACACATCACCTTCTGCACCGACATTCTTGAGGAGGCTCAGGCCGCCAAGCAAGTAGGTAGGGCAGGATGAGCGTGCATGCAAGCAGGTGAATAGTTGGCTGGCAGTTGTGCCGTGTGACTTGTTACCAGTGGTCTCACCGTCACACATCACCTCCTGCACCGACAATTTGGAGGAGGCTCAGGCCGCCAAGCAAGCAGGTGGGTGGTGCTTGGTAGGCAAGCAGGTGGGCACGGATGGATGTGGTGAATGCATGCACGTGAATAGTAGGCGGGCAGTTGTGCCACGTCCGTGTTACCAGTGGACGCTACTAGTGAACACCCCTTCAGTGCACACATCACCTTCTGCACCGACATCTTGGAGGAGGCTCAGGCCGCCAAACAAGCAGGTAGGGCGGGGTGGGTGTAGTGTCGGGCAGGTCAACAGCAATAGGCAGGCAGTTGTGCCGTGGCTCTCATTACCAGTGGACGCTACTAGTGAACACCCCTTCAGTGCACACATCACCTTCTGCGCCGACATCCTGGAGGAGGCTCAGGCCGCCAAGCAAGCAGGTAGGGCAGGGATGAGCAAGCAAGCAGGTGGGCAGGTTAAAACCACCAGGCGTGCAATTGGGCCGTGTCTCTCCTTAGCAGTGCTCCCGTGTTCTCCCCGTCACACATCACCTTCTGCACCGATATCCTGGAGGAGGCTCAGGCCGCCAAGCAAGCAGGTGAGCAGACCAAACAAGCAGTCCAGGGTTTAGCATGCATGGATGTAGGCAAAGAGTCAGCCAGTCTTATCCATTAGCATACAGCCCTCTTGCTTTATGACCTCTCTCATTCTCCCTACCTGACCTGCTCTCCACGCTCTGTGTTGCAACCTGCACAGGTCTGCAGGCTGTGCTGCTCTCTCGCCCTGGCAATGGTGCCCTGCCTGCCGACCCTGGCTTCCCTGTGCTCACCTCACGTCTCTCAATCTACCTGCCCCCCCTGTCCCACCCAACCACCCACAGGTCTGCAGGCTGTGCTGCTCTCTCGCCCTGGAAATGGTGCCCTGCCTGCCAACCCTGGCTTCCCTGTGCTCACCTCTCTCACCGACCTCTAGAATGGGTTTTTACGATTTGCTGCCTTCCATAACGGCCTTGAAACAGGCCTTTTGAATCACCCCTTCAAAACAACAACCTGGCCTTTTCCATAATGGCCTTTAATATAACGATTTTTTTACATGGCCTTCGGAAGTAACTTGTGAGCACCTCAATGCATATTTTCATGGTTTTAGATGCATATCTGACAGTTGGCATAGGCTATGGGTGGGGTAGGATGACTTGTTTGGCGTTTGCACGTCCAATTTCAAAATACCGGCATTGGTTCGTATGTAGAACTCATTGTTCAGGAGATTTAGTGTTTCGGACTGGAAATGCTTGATATACCCGTCTCAAAACAATTTCGAATCTCCCATTCTTTTTTCAGCCTTGTATGAAAACGGAGCCTTCATTAGAGGTTCGAACAAATTATCATCGGGATTGCCGCCATCATCGGACCATTCAGACGATCATTCTGATCATTCAGCCGCAAACTACCGATTCAATCCTAGCGGATTCTGTCAGATTCACTCTCATGTTCTGACTATCCAACTTACAGCTCGAGTCCTGACAAGTAGCGACTTTCTCACGCTTCGTCTGGCAGCGATTCGGGAGGATGACGGACGGTCGAGATGCGCCTGGGCGATCCGTTCTACTCGTCATTAGCGACCGACCGTGCTTCACGCGTGCCTGCTTCTGGTGACATCCTTTACACCCTGACCCATTTCCACCGCCTTTTTCAAGGGATTCTGAGCAGTGACGCACCTTCCTGGCTCCTTCTCACGGCCTTTCATGTGGATTAGGAACAATGACACTCCGTCCTGACCTTTCCCACGGCGTTCCAGCGGAAATGACGCCTTTCGAGATACCCTGACCCACCTTTTCGCACGGCCTTCCATCCAGGCAGCGTAGATTGTTAATGTTCCTGTCAGCCTTCGGCCCCCGGCCTAATGGTTTCGGCCTTCGTCCCGTTTCGCTTCACGAGTCACGATGCATGTGCAGCGGCGAAGCGGGACGAAATGAAGGGAACATTCTCGCTGCAGTAGAAGGCAACGCATATGAGCGCTGCTACTACTCTACGCGATGCGGGCCCTTGCAAGCGTGTTAGTATATCCAGCGGAGGTCCGCGCCGCGCGAGCGTACTCCATCTCAGCGGACTTTGACCATTATTTACAATCCGCATAACCCCGCTGACCATTTCTGTGCTCCCTTGTGGGTGGCCTGGATATTGCCGACAATCGTGCAGTTCAGGCTCACCATTCGCTCGCCGCTTCAAAGGAACTCTCATTCCGAGCCTTCCATCCTTCTCCTCTGCCGTCTCCTCTTCTCGGCCTCCCAGATCCGTATTTTCCCGAGGGGAAGCCCGAGACTGTACGAGAATTCCACGTGGACATTCCGAGATAGTTTCAGGTTTCGTTGTATTGGATATTTTCGCCTCTGCAATTGCTGCAGCAGCCGAACAGCTGAACGCGAGAATGGTGCCTGCCATAAGACTCCAACCAGAGAATGTTGCGCTGAGTCCAAGGCTGAGGCTTTGCCTTCAAACAGATCCTACTAGGCTCTGCTTCAGCGTGCTTCTGCTGGGCCTCCGCCTCCTGTGGTGCACGAGCCTTCTCTCATGCCGTGTCGCAGCAGCAAGAGATCCCCATATCCCCGATCTTGATGCACAGGCGAATCCGGCCATTCTGGCCAGATCTATCACTCCTGGAGCGCTTCGTACCACAGCTTCTGAGGATTCTCCTGAAAGAGCTTCTGGCGAAACACCTGGCGATCAGCACCTGACGGACAGTACTATTTGGAAGCCGACGATTGGATTCGCCGCCATCCTGAGAAAGCGGTGGTTGAGTGGCGAAGTGTTTGGGCCTTGGCGAAGGAAACTAGCAGGACTGGCGAAGAGAGACGAACTGAGCTGGAGCAGGTGGTTACCAGGGGGAGCGGTGGTAGAATCAAGGGGAAGATTGACAGCCGAAGTGGTGAATGAGGAAGAGGCGAGGGGGGTAGGGACAGAAATGAGGGGAGAAGACGTAGAGGCGAGGTTAGAACGAGTAGGTCAGAAGTGGAGCACGAGAGGTGGTGTGAGGAGGAGACGGGTGCTAGAGGCATCATCAGGCGTAGCGTGTGGGGAGGGCGGAGAGAAAGGCACAGTGGGGAGTGCGAGGGGCGAGAGGAGGGTGATAGAGGCGTGGAGGCCTGTCAAGGGGCGATACCTGCTGGCGCTCTGCACCTATGGCCGCCTCTCCAACCAGGTGCGGCTGCTGAAATCACATGGCATGGCATGACATGGCATGGCATGGCATGGCATGGCATGGCTACATAGGTACCTGCTGGCGCTTTGCACCTACGGCCGCCTCTCTAACCAGGTGCGGGGGTCTGACCAGGCGTTACCTAACCCCTCCCTCTTCGTCATCCGCTCGTTTGTTTCCATCTCTCGAGCGGTCCTTGCGTCGTTGATAGTAGCAGCAGTGTCTCCATCCTCTCCCCCGCACCAGCTTCAACCTCCAACCCCTTTTCCCCTTACCCTGTTTCCCCCGCCCCCCTCTCTCCCATGCCCGTTTTCACCACCTCCAGGAAGCGTGCATGCACATGTACCTGGCCCTGGCAGCTCTTCTCAATCGAACGCTCATCATCCCACGGCACGGCTTTACCATCTCCCTTTTCCTCCCCCCCCCACCACCTCCAGGAAGCGTGCATGCACATGTACCTGGCCCTGGCAGCTCTTCTCAACCGCACCTTAATCATCCCGCGGCACGGCTTCGCCATCTCCCTTTTCCTCCCCCCCCCCCCACTACCACCAGGAAGCGTGCATGCACATGTATCTCGCCCTGGCAGCGCTATTGAACCGCACCCTCATCATCCCACGGCACGGCTTCGCCATATCAGTGGTGGCGGAGTATCGCTGGCAGTGGGGCGTCATTGTGAACGTGCCCCACATGCGCTCCTGCCTCCTGCCACACTACCCCTCACCCCCTGCTGCTGCCACTGCTTCTGCTGCTGGGGCTGCTGCGGCTGCTTCTGGTAATACATCTGGCAGTGGAAAAGGGAGTGACAGCAGCGGCGCCAGCAGCAGCAGCAGCAGCAGCAGCAGCAGCAGCAGCAGCAGCAGCAGCAGCAGAAGTGATAGTAGTGAATGGAGGTGGGATGCGGCTAGTGGGGAGGTGCCGAGTGTGATCAGTCAGGACGAGTACGAGGCACTGGAGGGGCGAAACCTCACTGTGGACCGGATCGCGTGTGTTGTGCCGCACACGTGCCTGAGCCACCCACAGATGGTGAGTGTGGCTGTGTGGTAGTCACCCACAATACATGCACATCCATCAGCCAGGACGAGTACGAGGCACTGGAGGGGCGAAACCTCACTGTGGACCGGATCGCGTGTGTTGTGCCGCACACGTGCCTGAGCCACCCACAGATGGTGAGTGTGGCTGTGTGGTAGTCACCCACAATACATGCACATCCATCAGCCAGGACGAGTACGAGGCACTGGAGGGGCGAAACCTCACTGTGGACCGGATCGCGTGTGTTGTGCCGCACACGTGCCTGAGCCACCCACAGATGGTGAGTGTGGCTGTGTGGTAGTCACCCACAATACATGCACATCCATCAGCCAGGACGAGTACGAGGCACTGGAGGGGCGAAACCTCACTGTGGACCGGATCGCGTGTGTTGTGCCGCACACGTGCCTGAGCCACCCACAGATGGTGAGTGTGGCTGTGTGGTAGTCACCCACAATACATGCACATCCATCAGCCAGGACGAGTACGAGGCACTGGAGGGGCGAAACCTCACTGTGGACCGGATCGCGTGTGTTGTGCCGCACACGTGCCTGAGCCACCCACAGATGGTGAGTGTGGCTGTGTGGTAGTCACCCACAATACATGCACATCCATCAGCCAGGACGAGTACGAGGCACTGGAGGGGCGAAACCTCACTGTGGACCGGATCGCGTGTGTTGTGCCGCACACGTGCCTGAGCCACCCACAGATGGTGAGTGTGGCTGTGTGGTAGTCACCCACAATACATGCACATCCATCAGCCAGGACGAGTACGAGGCACTGGAGGGGCGAAACCTCACTGTGGACCGGATCGCGTGTGTTGTGCCGCACACGTGCCTGAGCCACCCACAGATGGTGAGTGTGGCTGTGTGGTAGTCACCCACAATACATGCACATCCATCAGCCAGGACGAGTACGAGGCACTGGAGGGGCGCAACCTCACTGTGGACCGGATCGCGTGTGTTGTGCCGCACACGTGCCTGAGCCACCCACAGATGGTGAGTGTGGCTGTGTGGTAGTCACCCACAATACATGCACATCCATCAGCCAGGACGAGTACGAGGCACTGGAGGGGCGAAACCTCACTGTGGACCGGATCGCGTGTGTTGTGCCGCACACGTGCCTGAGCCACCCACAGATGGTGAGTGTGGCTGTGTGGTAGTCACCCACAATACATGCACATCCATCAGCCAGGACGAGTACGAGGCACTGGAGGGGCGCAGCCTCACTGTGGACCGGATCGCGTGTGTTGTGCCGCACACGTGCCTGAGCCACCCACAGATGGTGAGTGTGGCTGTGTGGTAGTCACCCACAATACATGCACATCCATCAGCCAGGACGAGTACGAGGCACTGGAGGGGCGCAACCTCACTGTGGACCGCATCGCGTGTGTTGTGCCGCACACCTGCCTGAGCCACCCCCAGATGGTGAGTGTGCGTGCGTGTGTGTTTGTGCCAGTCAGTCAGCAACAGCACATGTCCATGCATTACGCACGAGGCGTTGGAGGGGCGAAACCTGACTGTCGACCAGATCGCATGTGTCGTGCCGCACACGTGCCTCTCCCACCCGCAGATGGTGAGTGTGGCTGTGTGTGTGTGTGTGTGTGTGTGTCAGCCTGAGTGTGTTTCTCCCACCCGCACACGCTGAGTGTGCCTCTGCTGCCCACAGATGCACCCGTCTTTCCCCTAGCCCTTTCCCGCTTCCCGTGCCCCGTTCCTCATTCTCCCCCTCCCTCCCCCTTCCCCGTTCCCCCCAACCAGGTGTTCAAGGCCCTACCAGACATCGCCTTCGCCTCGCACCTGGAGTACCCCCTACTGCACTCCCACCACCTCAACAAGCTATTGCACGTGCTTGCAAGCACATCTGCCATTTCCAACTCATTCCTTCCTCTCTGCCAGACATTGCCTTCGCCTCGCACCTGGAGGACCCCTCTCTGCAATCCCACCACCTAAACCACCTGCTGCACGTGCTCACAAGCACAGACCACTCATCCAACTCATTCCTTCCTTCCCCCCTTTTCTTGGCCCCTCTTGTCTCCCCCCACCAACCAGGTGTTCAAGGCCCTACCAGACATCGCCTTTGCCTCGCACCTCGAATACCCCCCTCTGCGCTCCCACCATCTCGACGAGCTACTGCACGTGCTTGCAAGCACATCTGCCACTTCCGACTCATTCCTTCCTCTGCACCTTCCTCTCCCCCCCAACCAGGTGTTCAAGGCCCTACCAGACATCGCCTTCGCCTCGCACCTGGAGTACCCCCCTCTGCACTCCCACCACCTCGACGAGCTCCTGCACGTGCTCTCCAGCACCGATGCCACCACAGGCGAGGTGGCTTCTCAGTCGACGCAAGAGGGACAGCAGCAGGGCATGCAAGAGCCAGCAGCCACGTCCGCCCTGGGCTCTTCTGCTTCACACACCACTGCTACTATTCTCCAACCACCCGGCATGGCCGGCAACCACAGCAGCAACGTCACACTCTCACCTTCCTCCTCCTCCTCCTCCTCCTCTCCCTCCCCTCCCTCCTCCTCGCCTTCTTCGCCCTCCACCGCTCTCCCCTACGCCGCCACGCCAGTGCTCTCTCTGGGCGATCTCAACGGGCTCACCCTCTCCGGTCTGCCCTTTGACATGTTCTCCCCGCACCCGCCCTTCCGCCTCTCCTGCATCGACCTCTGGCTCCCACCGCCTCCCATAGAGGGGTTCGTCACTGGATTCATAGACACCTTTCTGGGAGGGGACTATGCGGCAGTGCACCTTAGAAGGTGAGCTGCCGGACACGTGCCCTTTTCATTCTCCCCGCACCCGCCCTTCCGCCTCTCCTGCGTGAATCTTTAGCTGCCACCGCCTCCGGTCGAGGGGTTCGTCACTGGATTCATAGACACCTTCCTGGGAGGGGACTATGCGGCAGTTCACCTGAGAAGGTGAGCTGTCAAACACCCACTTACGCCCATCCTTGCCGCTGAGCGGTTCATTCGCCCCGCACCCGCCCTTCCGCCTCTCCTGTGTGGACCTCTGGCTGCACCCCCCGCCTGTGGATGGGTTCGTTGATGGGTTCGTTGACACATTCTTAGGAGGGGCCTACGCTGCCATGCACCTGAGAAGGTAGGCATTGCGCTCCCCCATTCCTGAGGTGAGCAATTTGCACTAGGGAATGGAATCAGCTCGTCAAGGGATCAATTTGTAGCAGCCTCCTCTCGCTGCCTGATTCTTGCTCTCTAAGGAGGAAGAAGGAATTATTCAGTTGTGCTCCCGAGTTTCTAGCCGCTTCCCCATCTGCTGCAGATTTTTCTTGTTTTCGTGGCATTGCGCTCCCCCATCCACCATGCGCACCAGACCTAGAGCCATCAAATCTTCTCCTCATAGGGATCGAGGGTTGTTAGAGGAGACTCACCCCCCTTCTTCCCAATCCCCTTGCTTCTGCAGGTCTGATTTCTCCCGGGTGTACCACCACGCGCACCAGACCAAGAGCCATCCCGCCTTCCTGCCCATCGTGGCCGTGGGTCAAAGTACCTGTCTCTAACGCCTTTCCCTCCCCTTCTCTCTCCACTCCTCCACCCACCCTCTCCTTGTCATGTCACTACAGGTCCGATTTCTCCCGGGTGTACCACCACGTGCACCAGGCCAAGAGCCATCCCGCCTTCCTGCCCATCGTGGCAGTGGGTTGTAAGAGCAGACACTCACCCTCCCTGTTTTCCAATTTCCCTTGCCCCTGCAGGTCCGATTTCTCCCGGGTGTACCACCATGCGCACCAGACCAAGAGCCATCCCGCCTTCCTGCCCATCGTGGCCGTGGGGCGCTTCATCATGAGGCGCCTGGCCAATCGCAGCGTGACAGCTGTCTACCTCGCCACGGACGCCAGCCAGTACGAGGTGCAGCTGCTGGAGAGGCTTCTCATGGGTGAGCCTCCCGTCTGCTTCCCCCACTCCCCCGCTCCCTCATCCGCTCCCTCCGTCCTTCCCTCTCTCTTTTGAGTTTGTTCAAAAGGGTTTGTCTGCCAGCCAGTACGAGGTGGAGTGGAGCTGCTGGAGAGGCTTCTTATGGGTGAGCCTTTGTCTGCTGCTACTGCCTCCCTCCGTGTTTCCCTCTCTTATTGAGTTTGCCAGCAAGACTTTTGAGAAGCTTCCGAGAGGCTTCTGTCTGCCAGCCAGTATGAAGTGGAGTTGCTGGAGAGGCTTCTCATGGGTGAGCCTCCCGCCTGCTTCCCCCACTCCCACACTCTCTCGCTCGCTCCATTCATCTCTTTATTGTGTTTGCCGGAGATGCTTCTGAGGATTTCGTCTGCCAGCCAGTACGAGGTGGAGTGGAGCTGCCGGAGGGGCTTCTCATGGGTGAGCTTATGATGCTGCTGTTGGCGCTGCTGCTGCCTCCCTCCCTACTTTTCGCTCCCTCGCTCATTCCCTTTCTCTATCTTGTTTGCCAGAGAAGCCAGTACGAGGTGCAGCTGCTGGAGAGGCTTCTCATGGGTGAGCCTCCCGCCTGCTTCCCCCACTCCCACACTCTCTCGCTCGCTCCATTCCTCTATCTGTTGCGTTTGCCGGGATGCTTCTGAGGATTTCGTCTGCCAGCCAGTACGAGGTGGAGAGGAGCTGCTGGAGAGGCTTCTCATGGGTGAGCCTCCCGCCTGCTTCTGCCTGCCTGGGTCTTTGTGTTTCTTCCAGTGTAAACTCAATCCCACTCCAATTCTGACTCAACATTCTCTCCCACCATCGTCCCCTCTGGTTCAGCCATTCCCCCCTGGGGAGCGCGGTGCCTCCGGCGTGTCTGAGTGGTTTTTTAGGCGCCTCAAAAGTCGACTCGTTACCTGCGATTTCCAGAGAATTCTTCACCTTTATTTGGCTCAAGGTACCCCCACCCCACCCCCCCCACCCCCCCCGCCCCCCCACCCCCCCCGCCCCCCCCCCCACCCGTACCACCATGTCCCCTCTGCTGCGGCAAGCATGGCGCCCGCCAGTCCCCTCATCGTGGTGTCTTTCGAGTCGACTCAAAGATTCCAAAAAAATCTTGTGACTCACCATCCCCACCCCCCCCGCCCCCCTTGTACCGCCATGGTCCCTTGTGTTGCAGGCATGGCCCCCGGCAGTCCGCTCATTGTGGTGCGCCTGCCGGACTTTATTTTGCTCAAGGTCCCCCCACCACCCCCCCTAAACCTTGTCACCATGCCCCCTCTGCTGCTGCAGGCATGGCCCCCGGCAGTCCGCTCATTGTGGTGCGCCTTCCGGACTTCGGGGCCAACTCCGATGAGTACCAGCGCTTCCCCTGGGTCAAGGTGAACACAAGCCTTCTTTTCCAGCTGAATTTTCTACATTTCTCCAAACACTGCACCCATCGCGGTGCGCCTGCCGGAATTTGGCGCCAACTTTGATGAATACTAGTACTTCCCCTGGGTCAAGGTAATTACATACATGCTGGCTTTTTTTCTTCTTACCTCCCCTCGATCGTGTTAAAGAGCTTGTGTTCGGAAGCTTGTGTTCAAGAGCTTGTGTTTAAAAGCTCGTGTTAAAGAGCTCGTGTTTGATTCTCTCCATCTCTCAATTTATAGATCCTTGCTTGCATAACACATCCCTTCCCCTGCCCCACTCTCTAACCTTCTCCCCATTTCTCTGCCCTTGTTCGCATCTGTGCAGACATTTCATGAGGCCGAGAGGGACATGGAGGGTGGGACAAACACCAATGGCATTGCTAGAGCACTTGCAGAGAAGCACATATGCGCAAGGGCGAAGCATTTCATCGGGACTCCTTACTCATCCTATTCCAAAGACATATTTCGGATGCGCAAGGTTCAAGGTCTGGCATCTTGTGCTGATGCTTACATTGAAGCGATTTAGAATGAAAAAGAGCAGACAAATATGTTGAATCATTTGTTAAAAGCTTGGCATCTTGTGGGATGCCTCTATTGAAACGATTGGGATAAAGAAACCGTCAGTAAATTTGAAATGCAAGGGGTCTGGATCTGGTTTATTTGCAATTTTAGACTGGCTTCTTCACGAGGCCTGCTGATTAATACATACTTGATGGTTTCCACTATAAATTTGTTCAAATCAGCCAATCCATTCCTGCAGGAATATGATTGAGGCTTTGAAAGTATACACATTAACGGGGCAATATATATATTAGGGCGTGTAAAATCGCCGCACACATGCCAAATTTGCTAATGGCCGGATTTTCGGCCATTAGGGTACTTAGGGGTTCGGGTAAGAGACAGCTTGGTACTTAGGGGTTCAAATGGGTACTCGCGCCAAAACGGCCCGACGGATGGTGGCCGAATTTCTGGGTTCGGCGATTTTACACGCCCTTAGCAATTATATGCATATCAGAAGTAGGAATGAGGTTCTCAAGAGCAGGGGTGGGTGGTGTCATGTGATGGTAGGGTGTTGTATCGGCTGCAGTGGTTAGTGGCGATTCCGTGCGGTACAAACTTGCCGCGTAATAGCACAGGAAAATCGTAATGTGCCCCGAACACTTGTGGCTGTTTCTGCCAGGCAAATCCGCTAGACAAGCGCCAGCTAAAAAAGCAGGGTCAAAGCCGGGTGACATAGTGCTGACACAGATATTGGGCCGTGAAAACAAAATTAGGGTGTATCGTGCTGACAAAGCAGGAATCTCTCTTAACGCTGGAGCTACATTGTATGTACTGTACGCTGAATACCAGGGAATGCTCACCAATTTTCGTAGTCAAGTGTCATGAATGTTTTGGCCGATTTTTTCATTATTTTTGTCCACGTCCATCCATGTCTTGGCCAAAATTTCAGTTTGCCAAACCTACAGGCCGAGCGCTGGGCTGGAGGATCCACAAACCGTGAAATGGGACAAGTATTAATCCTCGCACCCCGTATTTGCAAGGCGGGTCCCATAATCCACCCGGATTTGCCGTGGAGTCCGGAAAAAACACCCTGAAAACCTGAGTCCTGGCCAGCTCCCTCTCCATCAGTCTTTAAAGTCAGCCGCAGCTGACTCATCAGCCTATTTTCGGCACGGCAGCAAAGGTCCTAACGGTACGTGGCTTTATTCGGAATCTCCGACTGCGAGCTGGTACTCCAGCTACTTCGCGTAATCACAGTAACTTGCGCTCGTGGTTCCGGCCGTCATTCGCACCCCAGGTGATCTCCGATCTGCGATCTGCGACGATCTCCAAGGGCCCTGCGATCTCCAAGGGCCTTGCGATCTGCGACGATCTCCAACGCGGGAAATGCCAGTGGGTGCCTGCAGACGGAGTAGTAATAACCACACCTCCAGCATGCACTGGTTCAGAGCTCGCGAAAGGCGTTGCCATGCAGCGCCGTCAAACCTTCCTCCCACAGCTTGTCATTCCTCCTGGTCCCATGGCGCAATCCGGAAAACCTGGTGTTTCATCGCCTTCAGCTTTGTCCAATGCGGGTACTTCATGCACTGCATATCGTATCATCTCGCCGCGTCGCTGTGCAGTTCTCGCCGCGGCGTCGCTGCTTGTTCTCATCTTCAACTGCGCTGTCGCGGCCGGCGCGTCTGGAACCACCACCAGCCGTGAAAGCTCCAGTCTTGATGGCGAAAGCGGGAGACGCGATGGCAGCAGCAGCCGTACGACTCGTACGGAAAGACGAACTCTGGCAGTGATCGTGCATTCGAAGCAAAGCCGCAGACTCGATAACGGAGCCCGTATTCCCGTTACTACAAAGACAGCTGCCAGTGCAGTGAAGTATAACAGCGACGGCAAGCCGAAGCAGAAGACAATCAAATCGCCATACACGGCAGCGCTGCATCTGACCATTGACTTATCTCAGGAGAAGATCGAATCTTGGACGCCCCGGAAAAACCGGTACCTTCTCGCGCTCTGCATGTACGGGCGGCTGTCCAATCAGGAGCAGTGCTTGCGGAAATATTTAATCGCCGCCGCGCTTCTGCAGCGCACACTGGTAGTCCCAACCGAGACTTGCGGCCTGTCGTACAGGAAGTTTTGCTGGCGATGGGACAATATCGTGGATGTTCCTAGAATGAGGGTGTGCCTCGCGCCGGCTTATGGCACTAACGAGACGGTTATTACGGTGGATGAGTACGTGGCGAGGGAGGGCCGTGACGTGGCAATCGATCACATTGCGTGCTTCAGGACCCACGAGTGTCTCAACAACTGGGCCATGGTAAGCTACTCGTAGTACTAACTGGTAGTAGCTACAGTAGTAGCTCAACATATGGTGCCGCATTTGAGCGTCTCGTAAACATCGCTTGAGAGGTCCCACTGAACCTTCCTCACTCTTTATTTGCTCCGTCCCTGCACTTCCTCCCTCGCACTCCTTCCTCGCACCCTCCTTCGTTAACCCCCCACTCCCATCCCATCCCCACTCTCTCACACCCTCATTAACCCCGTGTTTCTTTTTTTCCTGTCTCCCCCCAAATCCCGCGGGGTGACCATTCACCTCTTTACCATCCCTATCCACCACTGTCCCTCGCTGAGGCTCAGCATGATTAGCCTTCCCCCATCCCCATCCCCATCCCCATCCCCATCCCCATCCCCATCCCCATCCTGTCCCTATCCCGATCCTCCCCCAACCTCATCCCTTCCCCATCCAAATCCACATGCCCATCCCCATCCCATTGACTCCCCCACTTTCCCGACCGCATCCTCCACAGTTGAAGGAGCACTATCCGCACATCACGCTGCCAGATAAACTCGAATACCCCACCATACTCTCCAAGGGCGTGAACGACTTTCTGCACGCATACGCTCCCTATAACGACGCGCCTGTCATCAGTCTTGGGGATGCCTACCCCTTGGGTCTGCATGGCCTCCCCTTTGACTTCAACGGCGCGGTTCCGCCCTTCAAGAGCGTCTGCGCGGATATCTGGCAGCCGCCGCTCGCTATAGAGAACTTCGTTGATGGATTTATTGAAACGTTTCTGGGGTCGGAATATGCCGCGGTGCATTTAAGGCGGAGCGATTTCGCCAAATTTCGGAAGGAGGGCGACGAAGAGAAGCGTGCAGCCTTCCTCCCTATAGTCACCGTAGCACAGTTCATTAGTGGGAGATTGAGAAACACGGGCGTGTCTGTGGTGTACCTGGCGACTGATGCTAGCCAGGCAGAGATTCAACTGCTGGAGAAGATGTTTCTAGGTGAGTACACCCCCGGTAACCCCGTTTTTTGGTGAGTACACCCCTGGTAACCCTGGTTCTTGGTTCCCCTTGGCTTAAAGCCGGTCTTTTCTCAGTCACATCCTTTACAGTCTCACCTCGCCCTCCCTATGCCATTTATCTTCAGCCTCAACATGACTTTTGACTTGACTACCTATTGTATTTTATATATTTCCTTGTGCTCCCTGTCTATCAGGTTCGGGCAGCACTAACCCCCTTGTGGTTGTGCGCCTGCCAGACTTTGCCAAGGAGTCGGAGGAGTATTCGCAGTTTCCCTGGGTTGAGCACTTCTTAAAATTGGACTCAGAGGGAAACGGCAGTCTTCAGGCGCTTGCAGAGAAGAACATTTGTGCTAAAGCACGCTTCTTTATAGGCACTCCGGGGTCAACTTTCTCTTGGGATATTCTCCGGCTGAGATTGCTGCATGGGAGGATGAACGACGTAGATGCATTCTTTAGTGAGCAATAAGGCATATGGAATATAACCGTTACCGCAGTGAGCCTAGTTTCAGATGCGAAAATTTCTGCTTGCTATTGCAACATGAAGCAACCTATGGTATGGTATACAAGCCTTGTACGGTATACGGTATACTCAAAATTGTCAAACTTGAAATTCCATCTATAAACCTTGTATCGAAACGGAACCTCTAGTAACAGGTTGTAACAATTTGGGGATTGTCCCCGCCGCCTGAACCACCACCATCAGACCATTCAGTTCAGGCGATCGCTCCTGCTGCAACGCAAATTACCGATTCAAGCCTAGCGGATCCTGTCAGGTCATTCTGACGAACCTAAACTCACAGCCTGAGTCCTGACAAGTGGTGTCTTTCTCACGCTTCGTCTGTCAATGATTCCGGAAAATGACGGACGACCGAGATTCGCCTGACGACTATCCGTTCCACTCGGCATTAGCGACTGGCCATTCTTCACGCGTCCTTACTGCCACTCCCATCCTCTGCATCCTCCTGACCCCGTCCCGCAACTTTCTTACAGATTCATAATGTAGCGAACCTTCCTGGCACCTTCTAGCGTTTTCACAGAAATTAGGAGTAGTGACACTTCGTCCTGACCTTTTCCACGGCGTTTCGGCGGAAATTACGACTTTTGAGTCACCCTGACCCACCATTTCCGACGGCCTAGCAGGCTGTAACACCTCGCTACCCACTGGGTCAAAACGAGGGTGTTATTTGGCGCAGCGGAGTGCCCTTAACACAGCCCACAGGCGTTACACTCGTCCCCCCCTGGTGCCAACGTCCCCGTTGGCCCTGGACTTCAGGAAGTCGGCCCCCTGCCGCTGGGACCTAGATTTCGCAGTGCTGTTGGCTGCGACTTCGCTGGTTGCTCAGGCCAGCGGTGGATCGTTCGCTGGGTTCGAGCTGGTTACAACCGCACTTCAGTTCTCGCCAAAGGCGGAAAGTGTGGTCCAGCCGGGATTCGAACCCTTGGCTCTGATTCCAAATGTAACACCTCGCTACCCACTGGGTCAAAACGAGGGTGTTATTTGGCGCAGCGGAGTGCCCTTAACACAGCCCACAAGCGTTACACAGGCAGCGTTTAAATGTTCCCATCGGCCGTCGGCTTTTACGAAGTTAGGTACACGAGTATTCTCCCCGTTCGTCCCGTTTCGCTTCACGAGTCACGTCGACTCACGACGCATTTGAAATCGAAGCGGGACGAACCCAAGGGAGCATTTGTCGCTGCTGTAGTAGGCAGAGCAGATGATCCCTGCTAGCTAGCTAGTACTCGAGCAGATGATCCCTGCTAGCTAGCTAGTACTCGAGCAGATGATCCCTGCTAGCTAGCTAGTACTCGAGCAGATGATCCCTGCTAGCTAGCTAGTACTCGAGCAGATGATCCCTGCTACTAGTACTCGACGCGACGCGACGCGACAGATTATCCCAGTGAAATTCCAGCCGAATCCTGCATTTTTCACCAGGCGCCCGTTCCCGCTAGCCATTCCCGTGCTCTCTCGTGAATGGCCTAGATATTGAACGACGATCGCTCGTGGTTCACCGTTCGCTCGCCGCTTCAAGAAACCCTCATTCCGAGGCTTCCAGTGCGGAGATTACTATCCTACTTGGTCACCGTTCGCTCGCAGCTTTGACGAGCTACTCACTAAGCTGAATTTCACTAAGAAAAGAATTGAACAAGTATATCACTAAATATTTTCAATTCCCGTTCTTCATATTAACACTCTCATTCTAGTGCTGGTATGACATGTACTGTGATATTAAGATTCGTAGCTTTCCTCTAAAGTGTCAAGATTGTTGGTGTGCATCATTCTGTACCTTTTAGTGTACCAAAATTTTGAAGTTTTTAAGCAATGACAGGCTTACATACTCCACTAAAACAAATCAAAGAATAGTTATACACCCACCAGCAAGCATACGAAATCAGCTAATGTACAATACAAAATTTGGTTCGACAAAGCCTTCGCTCTCAAATCAGCTAGTATGCGGAAACGGGCAGCTGTTGACCGTTGAAGGCAGAGTAGCGGCAATCGGTGGCGGTGACGGCGCTGGTCTCATAGTCCTTCACCTGCCCGTCCAGGAAGCCCTTGCCCTCCGCGCCATCGGCGGACACGGGGTGGTGCAGCATGGCAGCGAGCCTAGAGAACTCCACCGTGCGCGCCTCCCTGCCGCTGCGGTACGTCTGCCCCATCACACCATGCACGCTGCTGCTCACACTCGCATCAGTAAACATCACATTAATATGAACCTGCGCGTCGTCAGGTGTCTGCAGCAGAGGGTGCGCGGGGCGCAGCTTCAGGTCCAACTCCAGGAGCCCCTTGATGCTCAGATAATAGTGGTCCACGTCGTACGGGCCAGTCCTCTCCTCTCCCACGAACTCCAGCAACACTTTACCGCCCGCAAGGCTGCGAGATTCACCCGGAACGAGGCGTGCCGTCGAGCTCGACGGAAGCCAGGAAGCCGGAGTCGCCGCGGAGCTGCTCCTTGCCGTCGCGCGCCGTCAGCAGCAGGGAGTGAGTAGCGCGGTCGTCGGTCCACATGACTGCCAGCTGGCGGATCCAGGTGCGCACGGCGGAGCCGTTGACGACGAGGGCGTGAGAGTTGAGCGTGGAGCGCGAGTCGAGGTACCCGCGCATGCCCATGTTCACGTGCACCGCGCGGTCCGTGTACAGGCAGAAGTTCTTCTCGGGCAGCCTGTTGAAGTCGAACCGCGTGTTGTGCGCGCCCAGGAAGTGCGGGTCATTCTGCGCGGCGGGGCAGTTCTTGCCGATGCGAACCTTCTTTCCGCCGCAGCCGTTCTTGTCGCTCTTGGTGGGCAGGAGGGAAGTGAGGTCTGACAAGAGAAGGCACTTGCCGCACTCCTTGCCATTGCACTTGCCCTCGCTGGGTGATGATCTGCGATTTGCGGCAAACAGAGCAAAAACAGAGCGACAGGTCCAAGGAAACTATGTTTAGGAAACGAGCGCAATGCGAAGATTCGAAAGCAATGAAGAGAAACAGAGCGCAACGGAAAGCAATGAAGAGAAACAGAGTGCAACAGAAAGCAATGAAGAGAAACAGAGTGCAACAGAGGACTGAACGCGATTTGAGAGCAATGAAGAGAGTAATATGTTTTGACGCGAGCACAAGAGTACGAGGAAATCCTTACTAAATACTGGGAATTAAGGGACTGGATTGTAGGGTTACTCACGGGATGTGCACCCAGAAGCGGCAGGTATAGGCCTTTCCATTGGCGGCGGTGGCGCCGGCCTTGCATGCCGCGCAGCAGTCCTTGGCGTTCACCGCGCCCGCCGCGCACCACGGGGCGTTGTCCTTCTCCGGCTTCGACATGCACGTCTTGAATTCCGGAACCTGAGAAGTCTAAGTTTAGGTATAGCCTCCGGCTAGCGTTGAAGATAGTAAGTGCTTGGAGAGAATTCTGGTTTTCCAAGACTGATTTCACTCAAAACAGAGAAGTACACAAACTGAATGAAAACAAGACAATTTAAGCATTTCGAAATGTGGTGTGCGCCTCGCGTAACGCGTCATCCGCGTTTCAGCCCGAGTCGCACGCGTAACCGAATTCGGTAACCGTCACCGGAACCGAAACCGAGTTGTCTCATCCGCACCGAACACGGTTCGGTTGCGGTTGGACATTCTAGGCTTCGGAAATGTCTTCTCGACATTACCCGAACCCTATTCCGTTTTTCCTTGCTTTCCTCACGCTTTCCTCCTTAGCTCCTTAGTTTCCAGCCCCACCGTGCTAGCTATAGGTTCCCCACCGTAGATCGACATTTTCCACCGTTCCTAGTGTTATTCTACCGTCCCTAGGACAAGCGCGTAGGCCGGTAGACACTAGGGCAGTGGCGAACCACCCTAACAAGAAGAGCGACGGGGAGAAGGTGGGTAATCATGAGCACATGATAAGCAGAGAAGTAGCGGGATGCATAAAAGCACAATTCCAAACATCCTCCCGTGGCATTCGAGAAGGGAGGCTGACGCACCTTCCAGTAGTCGAAGGAGCCCTTCTCGTAGTCGCAGCCATCCACGCACAGCGCCCCTCTCTTTACCGGTCTCGCCTTTTCAGCAGCCGCCTTGTCAGCAGCCTCCTTCTCAGCAGCCGCCTTGTCAGCAGCCTCCTTAGCGGCCTTGTCAGCAGCCTCCTTGTCAGCAGCGGCCTTCTCAGCAGCGGCCCTGTCAGCAGCGTCATTGGCGGCCTTGTCAGCAGCGTCCTTTGCGGCCTTGTCAGCAGCGTCCTTTGCGGCCTTGTCAGCAGCTGAAGGAATATATTAGAGAGCGTAGCGATAGCGAGAGAGTCTCTGCTATGGGAATGATGTTGCGCCAGCAACTTGGTAGAGTTTTGGTAGCGTTTGCCTCTAAGGACTTTGTGAGAATTGAAGTAGCATTTGGGCCAAGTAGAATTGCAATATCAATTATCAAACACACAAGCAAACACAAACATATATAGGCAAGCAAGAGTTGCACAATTGTTGCGTGGCGCTGCGAGTAACCCAACCCACACGAAAGTGCTGTGCAGGTGGGAGAACGCGCCCCGCACATTTCCAACCCAACTCGGCACCGGGATGTCTCACCGTGCACGCTACTCCTGCCAACACAGCAAGTGAGTAGCGTGCCTCACAAGCAAGGCACCTACGACCCCCAAGACTCGTAGCACCGATTCCGCCGACTTCGCTGCAGTAGCTCACAGTCACCCGTAGTCACTAATGACCGCCACCGAACTCGTGCGTCGGTGCCGAGTAGACTCAGTCGTTAGGCGCCGACCTGCCAAGTCAAAGGTCATCGAGGGCCCTTGCTGTCGTAGGGCCCTCTAACACTCCCCTGCCATACTACAGCAAGGCCCTTTATAATCACAGGGCATGCATACACACATACACACCAAAACAAAGGGATACACACAAACGAAACACGCTCAAAGTGTAAACACGCACCGCACCAGCCATGGATAGGCCATGGCACCATCCACATCATGGAGTGTCTAGGTCTTCACTCCCCTCACTCAAGAGCCGCACCTGCCCCACAGCCTCGAAGCAACGACTGAAGGCGGGGAAATCCAATGCCTTTGTGAGGTAGTCAGCAGGCTGCTCGCTCGTAGGGATGTACTGCAGCTGCAGCTTCCTGCGCTTGACCATGTGCTGCAGCCACATGTGACGACGCTCCATGTGCTTGAGGCTCCCCTTGAGCCCCATGCCACCTGCCACTGAAATGGCGGAGGAGTTGTCCACAAAGAGAGTCGTGGGCTCCTCACTCCTCAGCAGTTGAAACTCTGCCAGCAGGAAGCGCAGCCTGCGCGCCTCCTTCCCAGCCTCCACAGCAGCAACGTACTCAGACTCAGTGGAGGAAAGGGTGGCGCAACGAATCCGCTGGCTCGCCCATGAGACAGCAGCACCCCCGAGCACGAAGACATAGCCACCTGTGCTGGTCCTGTTCTGCTTGTCCCCTGCATCATCAGCATCGGCGTAGCCCACCAGCTCCAAGGACTCCGGCCCACCACCAAACTCCAGCGCCACATCCCTGCTCCCCACCAAGTACGTCAAGCACCGGTCCAACTCCTTCCAGTGCTGATCACTCCACACAGTCTGGCCCGACCCCAGCTTGCTGCAGGCGAACGAGATGTCGGGACGGGTGGTACAGGCCGCGAACTGCAAGGATCCCACCTTCTGCCTGTACTCCTCCTCCTGGCGAGACTGCCATCCCACATCCTCGAAGGTCTGCACACTGAAAGGGTCAGAGGAAAGAGGGGTGCGAGGCAATCGCAGCGGCTGCTCCCCGTCAAAGAAGCGCCTATGGACCTTGTCCACATAGGCCCCCTGGTGCAGCCACAGCCTCCTCGTGGGCCTGTCCCGAATCAGCTGCAACCCCAGATATTTCTCCACAGGGCTAATCTCCCGCAGCTGAAAGGCACTCTGCAGCATGTCACGCAGCTCCGCTAGCATGCTCTGACTGCGGCTGGCAGCAAGCAGGTCATCCACATACACCAGCAGCCAGCACATCTCCCCCTCAGCATCAGTCTTGAAGTACAGAGCCTCATCCACCTTGCTCTTCTTCCATCCAGCCCCAAGCAGCACCCCATCCAAGGCCTCATACCATAGCATCGGGCTCTGCTTGAGCCCATACAGACTCTTCACCAACTTACAGACACGAGGAGTCCCATCCTCGTAGTAGCTCGGCTGCTCCATGTAAAGGTCTCGGTCCAGCACGCCATGGAGGAACGCGTTCTTCACATCGAGCTGCATCAGGTCCAAATCAAGTGCAGCTGCAATCGCCAGAAGCACACGCGCCGTCACATAGCTTCCCACAGGGGCGTACGTCTCCTCATAGTCCACCCCTGCCACCTGCGTGAACCCCTTCACCACCAGCCTCGCCTTCTCACGCTCCACTATCCCATCAGGTCGGAACTTGGTGTTCAAAATCCAGCGGTTCTTCATCACATTCACCCCTGGCGGACGCGGAACCAACTCCCACGTCCCCTGCTCAATCAAGCTCCGCATCTCCTCATCCATCGCCTCCTTCACCTTGTCTCCCTTCCAGCAGCCCAAGGCCTCCTTCACTGTCATTTTCGCTATGTCCCACTGCCTCTCAGGATCAGCTGCCACGTCCGGGTCCAGGTTAGTCCACTCCTCGTCCTCCTCCTCATCATCCAAGCCCGCTGGCTCAACCACTACAGCCCAAGCGTATCGAACAGGCGGGACACCACGAGTGATGCGAGTGGAGCGACGCAGTGGTGCAGTGGTCGTCCCAGAAACCAACACACGACCACCATCTCTAATTCCCCACATCTCCTGCTCCCCTGTCTGCTGCTCCCCAATCTGCTGCTCCCCTGTCTGCTGCTCCCCTGTCTCCTGCCCCCCACTCTGCTGTACTCCATCCATACTGCTCTCGTCCTGCAGCTGCTCAGTCTCAAGGCGCTGCCCGTCGGTGATCTCCACAGACGGTGGCACCTCCATCCCCCCCTCACCAACGGGCGGCGCCGTGGAAGACGAAGAAGAGGGCGGAGCAGGTGCAGGAGGGATGGAGGGTGGAAGGGGAGATGGAATAACAGGAGGAGGAGGGGAAGCCAAGGGGGGTGAGGAGGAAAAAGGCGGGGCAGGGGGAATCACACGAGGGTAGACTGAAGGCGGAGGTGGGGTGGGGACCGAGGTAGGGACATAGGGCATAGCAGGAGGTGCGACCACCTCCTCCTCCTCCTCCGCCTCCTCGAGAGTGATCGAGAAGAGTGAGGGAAGGGGCTCATAGGGCATCGAACGCCCCCCATGCTCCTGCTGATGCCAAGCCTTCCATCCTGCTAGGGACATGGTCTCATAGAACACAGCTTCCACAGTGGTGATGAGGCGGTTGGACTCCAAGTCCAGCACGGCCCAGCCCTTGCTCGCAGCTGACACACCCAAGTGCAACCCCCAGCGAGCCTTAGGCGCCAGCTTCCCCCCACGCTGCGACTGTGGTACCATGTACTGCAGCATGCAGCCCCAAACACGCACCATACTGACATCAGGTTTGCGTCGGAAGGCGAGCTCGTACGGCGTCACACCAGAGGGTAGTGAGGCGTGCTCCACGCGGTTGCGCACCCAGACGGCCTGAGCCAACGCCAGGTGCCACCAGTGATGCTGCACACCCATGTGCAGCAACATCGTCCGCACCGCCTCCACAATGCTGCGCATCTCCCTCTCGGCCATCCCGTTCTGCTCCGGCGTGTACGGGCATGTGAGGTCATGGATGATGCCTTTACCGTCGAGGAAGAGCGTGAAGTCGTGCCCCAGGAACTCGCCACCCCGATCAGTGCGTAGCGCCTGCACCGTGGTCTTGCACTGTCGCTCTGCCATCGGGAGCCACTTCTGGAACGCCGCCAGCGCATCACTCTTCTGGGCCAAAGGGTAGGCCCAGACATATCGCGTCTTGCGATCCTTCAGCACCAAGAAGTAGCGGCTGCCGTCCTTAGCTGCTTCACGGAAAGGGCCACACAGGTCAGCATGCACCACCCCGAGCAACTCATCCTCCTCCTCTCCCACAGAAGGAAAGGTATGACGAGTGATCTTTCCCCCAACACAGGAGACACAAGGTATGCCTGACTTGCCCCCCTTCTCCAAATCCAAGCCCTTCACTGACCCGTGAGCCGCTGTGCGCTCGATGGCATCAATACCAACGTGTGCCATACGCGCATGCCACAGGTCCCCCTTAGACCGTACGCCGGTCGCCAAGGTACGAAGTGCCACCGTTTCGCCTTCCTGCTGCTGCGTCGAACACGGCTGGAAGTTCGTGCAGAGAACACGCCCCTTGAACTCCGCACGACCAAGGAGCGATCCATCTGGTGCCCGCAGCAAAGTCACATCCCCGGCATCCAGCAGCTGCACACCACTATCACGCAGCTGCCCAGCAGAGAGAAGACTCGCCTGCACTCCTGGTACGTACAGCACGTCCGGCACCAAGACACGCCTGCCCCCCTCCCCAAGAAGAGCGACTGTGCCTCGCCCCTGCACCTCTTGAAGGGCGCCGTTGAAGGCAGAACGATCTCCCATGAGATGGTGGGAGCATCCGCTATCAAGCAGCACGACGCTCGGGTTCGCCTTCACAGCAGCTGCAACAGCCTGTAAGCCCTCCCCGGCCTCAGGCTCTAGCACAACGAGAGGAGTCTGCTCCACAACTGGCTTCACCATCGCACATGATGACTGCCCGCTCCCCTTAGAGCCATCACCCCCCTTTCCGCTGCTACCTCCAGAACCCTCTCCACCGGTGTCTGCCTCCTTATCCGCCCGCTGCTGACAGTACTTAGCAACATGCCCTATTTGTCCACACACATAGCACTTCCCCTTGAAGCCCCCTTTCCCCCCCTTCGGCTGGCCATCCTTACCCCCTTTCCACTTCTCCCCTCCCCCACCAAGCCCACCCCCATTCTTAGGCTGCTGCTGCTGTGCCGTAGTGGGAGGGGAAGGGAATGAAGTCTGCTGGAATTGGGGCTTACCCTTCTTGGTAAAGACCTGGTTAGCCTGGGGAAGAAATTGGTCCTTTCGTCCCTCTGCCGCCAGCGTACACTCCTCCTCGATGATGTAGCTAGCGAGGGTGTCCTCGTCCAACTCCTTGCGAACCTGCGGCAACTTCAGCATCCTGCGTAAGAGGTTGTACTGCTGCGGCAACCCCTTCACAACGTGAGTGATGTACGACGCCTGCGAGTAATCTACGCCGGCCATCCTCAGGTTCACTAGGATCTGCTGCGCACAGTTGCAATAGGACGTAGCGGACTCGTGCTCTCCCATCTCGAGGTTAGTGAGCGCCTGCTCTAACTGACCGATGTACAGATCGTCCTTCGCCATGTACGTGCGCATAATAAACCGCCGTGCCTGATAGCCGGCATCGACCTTCATGCGACACGCCTTAAGGGCGATCTGTACGGTTGGGGAGCAGCATCGGGAAATGGTGGTGAATGTCAGCAACTGCATCGCGCGGAACTAAGAGAGATGCGCAAGCGCACGCGCTGGTGGAATGGGGGTGGTGCCATCTATGAATCGCTTTAGCTGAGCGATCTCAAGCTGCGGCTCGATTGATTCTGTCCACGTCGACAGGTCGTGACGTCCTTCTAACGGCCTAGTGACAACGATCTTGTCTGGAGTGAATCTGAAGTAGCCATAGTTGGGGGCTATTCCCTCGTCCCTCGACATCGATCCAATCGGGGTAACGCCCGGCATAGCCTCACTATCGAACTCTTCCGCAATTCCTCCTCCAGCAACGCTCCGCCGTCCTACATTCGCATGCTCTCGTGACGCTGCTGCACGATGAACACGCTCCTGTACACCGCCAACGCTAGCCGTACTAAACCGAGTTGGTCCTCGCAGGACCCCACGCGACATCAACCCATCAAACTCCTCGTCATCGCTATTTCCGCCATCGACAGCCATATCCCACGCACTAGTACCTCCCGCAACTTGCTCAACATTCTCTACACGTGGCGAAGGGTGCTCACGACGCCGACGCGAGCGCAATCCCTCCAACATTAGCTCGTATTTGATATCACTAATCTCACCACGAGAATGACGAGCCACGAGATCCTCCTCTAGGGCGCGCAAATTACCGGCCTCCACGTTCGCCTCCTCTGTACTCATCCTCTACGACGTCTCTATAAGGTACCACAAATTAAAATAAAGTGCCCCTTCCTTAAATCCCTCGTCTCGGGGTCACCTCACAAGGGTCCTCAGACGAGTGGTAATAAATTACCAAACGCCCTATCCTTGGGTCCGAGAACGTAACTGGAGGGAAATCAAGAGAGGTTCAACTTAGATTAATAAGCGCCCTTCACTAACGCCGCACGCCAAGGCGAGTATACGAACGCGAATATCAACGACGACGGAAATCTATGCGTGTTCGTTCCACGCTCACCGCGCCATGAAGGAATATATTAGAGAGCGTAGCGATAGCGAGAGAGTCTCTGCTATGGGAATGATGTTGCGCCAGCAACTTGGTAGAGTTTTGGTAGCGTTTGCCTCTAAGGACTTTGTGAGAATTGAAGTAGCATTTGGGCCAAGTAGAATTGCAATATCAATTATCAAACACACAAGCAAACACAAACATATATAGGCAAGCAAGAGTTGCACAATTGTTGCGTGGCGCTGCGAGTAACCCAACCCACACGAAAGTGCTGTGCAGGTGGGTGAACACGCCCCGCACATTTCCAACCCAACTCGGCACCGGAATGTCTCACCGTGCACGCTACTCCTGCCAACACAGCAAGTGAGCAGCGTGCCTCACAAGCAAGGCACCTACGACCCCCAAGACTCGTCATTCCTAGCACCGATTCCGCCGAGTTCGCTGCAGTAGCTCACAGTCACCCGTAGTCACTAATGACCGCCACCGAACTCGTGCGTCGGTGCCGAGTAGACTCAGTCGTTAGGCGCCGACCTGCCAAGTCAAAGGTCATCGAGGGCCCTTGCTGTCGTAGGGCCCTCTAACAGCAGCGTCCTTTGCGGCCTTGTCAGCAGCGTCCTTAGCCGCCTTGTCAGCAGCGTCCTTAGCCGCCTTGTCAGCAGCGTCCTTAGCCGCCTTGTCAGCAGCGTCCTTAGCCGCCTTGTCAGCAGCGTCCTTGGCCGCCTTGTCAGCAGCGTCCTTGGCGGCCTTGTCAGCAGCGTCCTTGGCGGCCTTGTCAGCAGCGTCCTTGGCGGCCTTGTCAGCAGCGTCCTTCGCGGCCTTGTCAGCAGCGTCCTTCGCGGCCTTGTCAGCAGCGTCCTTCGCGGCCTTGTCAGCAGCGTCCTTCGCGGCCTTGTCAGCAGCGTCCTTCGCGGCCTTGTCAGCAGCGTCCTTCGCGGCCTTGTCAGCAGCGTCCTTCGCGACCTTGTCAGCAGCATCCTTGGCGGCCTTGTCAGCAGCATCCTTGGCGGCCTTGTCAGCAGCATCCTTGGCGGCCTTGTCAGCAGCATCCTTAGCCGCCTTGTCAGCTGCCGCCTTCTCAGCTGCCGCCTTCTCCGCAGCCGCCTTGTCAGCAGCGGCCTTGTCAGCAGCCGCCTTGTCAGCAGCGGCCTTGTCAGCAGCGGCCTTGTCAGCAGCCGCCTTGTCAGCAGCGGCCTTGTCAGCTGCGGCCTTGTCAGCAGCGGCCTTATCAGCGGCGGCCTTGTCAGCAGCGGCCTTGTCGCTCGCCGCATTCGCTGGTTTGTCGTTTCCTGCGCTCACAACCGCAGACGTAGCGAGGAGAAGGAGCAGACAAACGACGACATAGCGGGCCATGATGGCAAAAAAATCGGTTGGTCCAGAGCTGGTCGAGTGAAAACTAACACGCTGGGGCTTCTGATACACAAAGGCAGCAGGATTGCCTTTGTATTGGTGAGTGCTTCTGCGGGTGAAAAGTCAGAGGACTGAGCAGGTGTTCCTCTAAAACTGAAGTTGGTGTGGTTGGGTTCGTTTGGACCAATTGTGTGGTGGGGAGAAGTGGTAAGTGGGACCAAATGACCACAACCAGAATTTTTGGACACATCCAGATGTGATAAGCAAATCCATGAACCTGGGAGACCCACAGCGTTTTCAACCTGGCGTGCGCCGATTTACACCTTGTGCTCGCTTAACGAATTGCGTTTTCTTGTTTCCAACATATTCAAGGCTAAAAGGGCAAGGTTTCAGTTCTGAAGTATCTACTTCGGCTACAGTTGAGGATTGGGTAGCCCGGTGTGTTTTGTATGAGAAGGACGAGTACCTTATTCACAAACCAGGTTTGACCAGAGGACTTTAACGAAAGGCTTGTTCTTCAGAAACTTCAACTATTGCTCTTGTCGTTTATATTACGTAGGCTAGAGTGGTCTGTTTGGTGTGCATCAGGTGTAAACATTTGGCTTATCTCTTATATTTTTTGTCAGCTCACCGCAGCCGCCCATGTTAGGCCCTCGCCGCGCAGGTGAATCGAGAAGTGCTTACACCTGCGACACTCTCGAGGATACGGGCAAGTTTAGCTCCATGGCTGACGCATTATCCATCGTATCATAATCCGCCTATCTAGCGCAAATGGAAAGAGCAAGTGCTTGGTTGGGGTCAAATCAGTTTCTACAAATTATACAGTAACTTTCATACAAGGACCCTGATTTCGGGCAGGGGGGATTCTTCCAAATTGTGTTTCCACCTCAATGGGCAGACTAGCCAGATGCTTATCACCTGCGCTTTCGTCAGAAGCTGGCTCGGACACTGTGCTGCCATTTCAGTTGGACTGTACAGAGTACAAACACTTGAACGGGCGGCAAGTGGGACCCGTTTCCCATCAACTCAATTGTACAGTACAGTATAGTCTCGGCGACTCTGTTGTCTTGTCTGCACGTGCTTGCACGAAACATTATTGGATAACCTCGAATACACCCTTGTATTTTATTTTTTTTCGTGGAGAACTAAAATGTCTTGAACGGATGTGATTACTGTTTCTGAGGTGGTTTTATTGCTAGTGATTACAGTGCCCATATTGCAAATCAAACAGTAATTGTCCCTCAATAACAGAACTAAACTCTCTGATCCAATTAGAGTGCGACAATCAATGACTATTCACGTCTTTTCTGCTGCGTTGGCCATGGACAAGAGGACTGGAGTCTATATTTGAATTGCATTGCCAGCCACTCCGGTTGTTCGGGCTCGGGGACTAATGTAGATTGGGAAACTCTGCACATGTGTGGTTAGACTCATTGTAAATTTAGCCCAACCATGGTCTGGTTTGTTGGATTAGCTGAGTCTGGTATGAAAATAATAATGATAGAAGATATTGTGCACTTTAAAATATTTTGTGCAAACCCAACTCATCCTATCCATTGCACTCGTAACAGTCTCATACACTTCTCAAAATCACACTATACACAACCCTCACACAAATCACCATTCAAACCATTCGCCAGCAGGGTACGCATTCCCGCTCAGTACATAGTCACCCTTTATACCCTTAGTAAACACTTAGTTGAAAACGATAGGTGGGACGACTTAGGGAATCTGTTTGAAGGGAGCCAGCATGAGGGTCTGCTTGATAAGGCTCAGGAAATCTTGGGGCGTCTTTGAGAATAGCCTTTTGAGGCTGTTGATCCTTAAGAAATAGTACACCGGAACTTAGTTAAGAGCTGAGGCTCCTGGACTGCTCTGCAAGGAGCAAGTCCGTGTCAAGGTCGTCTGCAATGACTATGGACGGCGCCTTCTTAAATATCTGCAGCGCGTGGGGTGCAAGGGGGGGGGGGGATGAGGGACTTGTGAGTCATCTCAAAAGGCTCCTTGACTGCTCTGCAAGGAGCAGGTCTCTGTCAAGGTCATCTGCACAATGTGTGGTGGAGGAGGGAGGAATGGAGGGACTTTTGAGCCGCCTCAAAAGCAGGGCCGTGTCAAGATAATCTGCAATGACTATGGACGGCGCCTTCTTAAATATCTGCACAGAGGAGTGGGGGAGGGGGGAGAAATGAAGGGAGGGTTCTGAGGCGCCTCAAAAGCAGGTCCCTGTAAAGGTCCTCTGCAATGACTATGGAAATCGCCTTCTTAAAAATCTCTGCACCCCGTGGGGTGTACGAGGGAGTCAATGAGGGGGTGGGAGGGGGGGGCGGGAGGAGGAGGAGGGGAGATGGTGCATATGGGTCTGGAGGTTAGCAGAAGAGCCAAGCATGGTGGGTACTGGTTGGGGAGTGAGCATGGAATCACTATGCCCACACCTCCCGAGTCTCCGAACCCAAGCCACAGTTACAAACATCACATTCATCAAATCCTTCACCCACTAGAGGGAATCACTGTGGAAACATCTCCTCAATCTCAAACCCCGAACCCCAAGCACAAAATCCCAAGGCGTGGAGGTACCTTGTGGAAGTATTCCAGTTCGCTCCGTGCCGCCCACATCTCCAGAGACACGTCCTGCGCCGCCCTTTGTAATCCCACATCCTTCACCCCAGAATCCCAAACCCCAAACCCCGAACCCCAACCCCGAACCCTAAGCACACCTGTAGGTGCCAAGGCGTGCAGGTATAGCTTGTGGAAGTATTCCAGTTCGCTCCGTGCCGCCCACATCTCCAGAGACACGTCCTGTGCCGCCCCTGTAATCCCACATCCTTAACCCCAAAATCCCAAACCCAAACCCTTAGCACCCCTGTAGGCAGGCCCCAAGGAGTGGAGGTATTTACCTTGTGGAAGTATTCGAGCTCGCTCCGTGCCGCCCACATCTCCAGAGACACGTCCTGTGCCGCCCCTGTGAGGGGATCCACTGCTGGGGTCACCGCCTGATCGTGGACGGGAAAGAGGGGTGTAGAGGGGTGACGGGAGAGAGGAGGGGGTGGGAAGGGGTGAAGGAGGCGAGGGAAGGGGTGGGAAGGGGTGACAAGGGAGAAGCGGGGGTTGGGGAGAGGTGACGGTGGTGGGAAGCCCAGCCCACATCTCCAGAGACACGTCCTGTGCCGGCCCTGTGTGAGAATTCGCACATGGGGTCACGGTCACCCACCTGATGAGTTGAAGAGGGGTTGTCATTGTGTTGTGTTGCATGCCCACATCTGAGAATTCTCAAAAGTGTGCAGTAAGATTTTCCAGAGATACATCCTGAGCAGATCCCTCTCTCCCCTTTTGTTTGGGAACCCATTGCTGGCACAAACACTCGTTACAGACTCATACTCGTTACAAGCATGCACTCACTCACCAGCACACACAAATCATCGCCCCCAGCACACGTTGGCAGGCAGCAGCGCCCGTGACGAGGGCCACAGCAATGCGCACCATTACACATTCATTACAGGCATGCGTACTCACCAGCACACACGAATCATCGTCCCGAAGCACAAGCACACTCGCTATGAACACACCCGTTGGCAGGCAGCAGCGCCCGTGTAGCAGCGATCAAGAGCCACAGCAATGCGCACCATTCCACATTCATTACAGGCATGCGTACTCACCAGCACACATGAGTCGTCGTCCTGTAGCACAGGCACGCTAGCAGCAGCGCCGGTGTAGCAGCGATCGAGAGCCACAGCAATGCGCATGATGGCACAGAGCCATGTACTCGCTATAAGCCCACCCGTTACAGGCACACACGTACCAGCACGCAAGAGTCGTCGTCCTGTAGCACAAGCACGCTGGCAGCAGCGCCGGTGTAGCAGCGATCGAGAGCCACAGCAACGCACATGATGGCACAGAGCGCTCGTACTCGTTACAAACACACCTGTTACAGGCACACACTCACCAGCACACACGAGTCGTCGTCTTGAAGCACAAGCACGCTGGCAGCAGCGCCTGTGTAGCATCGATCAAGCGTCACGGCGATGCGCATGATGGCGCAGAGGGCACGGATCTTCTGCTGCACCACGACAGGCAGCTTGGCAAAGTCCTCATCCTTGGTGGAGGGCGGGCGCTTGCGGTGGTAGCGCACTAGCAGGGCGATCATCTGGTGGGGTGGGAAGGAGGGGCATGCGGGGGCAGGGAGGTGGGGAGCAGGGGAGGGTGGTGGGGGCATGGGCGGGATGGAGAGAGGAGGTGAGTGAGATTGAGAGCAAGGAGCAACGCGCATGACGGTGCATGATGGCACAGAGGGCGCGGATCTTCTGCTGCACCACAAGAGGCAGCTTGGCAAAGTCCTCGTCCTTGGTGGATGGCGGGCGCTTGCGGTGGTAGCGCACTAGCAGGGCGATCATCTGGTCGGGTGGGGAGGGGAGGTAAGGAGTGGTTGCGGGGCAGGGAGGGAGGGGAAATCGGGAGGAAGAAAAAGGGGAGGTGGGGAACAGGCGAGGTGGAAACAGGAGGTGGGGGCACGGGAGGGGTGGGGAGAAGAGGTAAGTGAGTGAGTGAGTGAGTGAGTTAGAGCTCTCGGATCTTCTTCTGCGACACGGGGGCACAAGCAGAGCTATCATCAGGAGAGGAAGGGAAGGGGGATGAGAAAGGAGGGGGGAGGCGGTGTGAAGAGGGGAGGGGTGAAGGTGGGGTTGGGGGACTTGAGAGAGGAGGTGAGCGACGGCAGCAGGGCTATCATGGAAAAAGAGGAAGAACCGAGGAAGAAAGGACTTTGTGGGACATCTGAGAATTCGCTTGCAGTGATGAAGAAAGGACTTTGTGGCAGCATGCACACCAGAGGGGGGCAACCATTTGGTATCACACCCAAACCACGCCGCATTCCACACGCCCCATCCCCATGACCCATGACCCATGCCCCATGCCCCCTTTTCCCACCCATTGCCCCACGCCCCATGCCCGATGCCCCACCCCCCACACCCCATGCTATTCATGTGCGTTCCACTCCACTCACCTCGACT